GGACTTAGTAGATATATACAGGAAACTTCATCCTCAAAAAGCTGAATACACATTCTTCTCAAGCGTACATGGAACATTCTCCAAGATGAGAATGCTGAGCCACAAAACATGCCTCCATAAAATTAAGAAGATAGAGATTGTATTAACAATCTTCTCAGACCATAATGCGCTGAAATTAGAAGTAAATCACACACAAAAACAGAAAACTAAATCAAACACCTGGAAATTAAACAGTGCGCTATTGAACAATGAGTGGATTAGACAGGAAATCAAAGAGGAAATCAAAAGATTCCTAGAAACGAATGAAAATGAGAACACGAGTTACCAAAACTTATGGGACACAGCAAAAGCTGTGCTAAAAGGAAAGTTTATAGCTCTACAAGCATTCCTCAGGAAGGAGGAGTGAGCACACATAAGTAACCTAACCTCACAGCTTAAAAGCTTGGAGAAGGACCAAAAAATGGAGCACAACCCGAACAGGAGAAAGGAAATAATAAAACTCAAAGCAGAGATTAATGAGATGGAAACCCAAAAAACAATCCGAAAGATCAATGAAACCAAGAGCTGGTTCTTCGAGAAAATTAACAAGATCAATAAGCCTCTAGCAAAACTCACAAAGAAAGGGAGAGAGAAAACCCTAATAAACCGAATCAGAAATGAAAAGGGGATCATTACAACAGAAACTACAGAAATTCAAAGGATCCTCAGGGAGTACTTTGAGAAGCTTTATGCCACGGAACATCAAAACCTCGAGGAAATGAATAAATTCCTAGACTCCTACAGACTCCCAAGGCTGAACCAAGAAGACCTGGAATACCTGAACAGACCTATCACCATCAAGGAAATTGAAATGGTAATAAAAAGTCTCCCCAAGCACAAAAGTCCTGGCTCGGATGGATTCACTAGTGAATTCTTCCAAATCTTTAAAGAGGACTTACTCCCAATCCTCTTTAAGCTTTTCCACGAAATTGAAATATCAAAAACACTTCCGAACAGTTTCTACGAAGCAAATATCACACTGATACCAAAAGCAGATAGAGATACCACAAAGAAAGAGAATTACAGACTGATATCCCTGATGAACACAGATGCAAAGATCCTCAACAAACTACTAGCAAATAGAATCCAACTACTCATCAAAAAGATCATACACCATGACCAAGTAGGATTCATCCCAGGGATGCAAGGATGGTTTAACATTCGGAAATCAATCAACATAATCCACCATATCAACAAAAGAAAAGATAAAAAGCATATGATCATATCAATAGATGCAGAGAAAGCATTTGACAAGATCCAGCACCCCTTTATGATGAAAACCCTAGCCAAAATGGGTATAGAGGGGACCTTCCTCAACATAATTAAAGCCATCTACCACAAGCCTACAGCAAGCATCATCCTCAATGGGGAAAAACTGAGAGCCTTCCCTCTAAGATCAGGGACGAGACAAGGATGCCCACTATCTCCACTACTGTCCACATAGTACTGGAAGTACTTGCAATAGCGATTAGACAAGAAAAAGATATTAAGGGCATTCAGGTTGGAAAGGAAGAAATCAAGCTCTCACTATTCGCAGACGATATACTCTACTTAGAGAACCCAATAACCTCCACCAAAAAACTCCTAGAAACAATAGACTCGTATAGTAAAGTTGCAGGCTATAAAATCAATACCCCAAAGTCCATGGCTTTCCTATACTCAAACAGTGAGAGAGAAGAAAGCAACATGAAAAAAAAAATCCCGTTCACAATTGTGCCCCAGAAAATCAAGTACCTAGGAATCAGCTTAACTAAGGAAGTAAAGGACTTGTACAAAGAAAACTACAAAACGCTACTTCAGGAAATAAAAGAGGACACGAGGAAATGGAAAGATATCCCCTGCTCATGGGTCGGAAGACTTAACATTGTCAAAATGGCAATACTACCGAAAGCATTGTATAAATTCAATGCAATCCCTATAAGTATACCCATGACATTCTTCAAAGAAATGGAGCAAACACTCCTGAAATTTATATGGAACAATAAGCCCCCACGAATAGCTAAAGCAATTCTTGGGAAAAAGAAAATGGGAGGAATCAACCTCCCGAACTTCAAACTGTACTACAAAGCAGTAATAATTAAAACAGTATGGTACTGGAACAAAGGCAGAACTGCAGACCAATGGAACAGGGTTGAATACACTGACATCTCCCCTCAATCATATGATCATCTAATCTTTGATAAAGGTGCAAGTAATGTGAAGTGGAGTAAGGAAAGCCTCTTTAACAAATTGTGCTGGCATCACTGGACGGCTACATGCAAAAAAATAGGCTCAGAACTCTGCCTAACACCATGTACAAAAGTAAGATCAAAATGGATTAAAGACCTCAACATCAGACCAGAAACCATAAGATACATTGAAGACAAAGTTGGCAAAACCCTCTATGACATTGAAGCTAATGGTATCTTCAAAGATGCCACGACACTGGCCGAGCAAGTGAAAACAGAGATAGATAAATGGGACTATCTTAAACTAAGAAGCTTCTGCACCTCCAAAGAAACAGTGACCAAAATACAAAGACAGTCTACAGAATGGGAAAGGATATTCGCCGAATACACATCTGACAAGGGGTTGATATCCAGGATATACAAAATACTGGTTAAACTCCACAAGAAGAAAACATCCAACCCCATCCAAAAATGGGGCAATGAAATGAACAGAAACTTTCTCAAAGAAGAAATCCGAATGGCAAAAAAGCACATGAGAAAATGCTCTACATCATTAATCATCAGGGAGATGCAGATCAAAACCACAATGAGATACTATCTCACACCTCCGAGACTGGTCCACATTCAAAAGAGCAAAAGCAACCGATGCTGGCACGGATGTGGCGACAAAGGGACACTCCTTCACTGTTGGTGGGAATGTCCACTGGTTCAGCCCTTCTGGAAAACAGTATGGACGATTCTCAAAAAATTAGAAATTGGGCTCCCATTTGACCCAGCAATACCACTCCTGGGAATATATCCCAGAGAGGCAAAAATGTATAGTCGAAGTGACATCTGCACTTGTTTGTTCATTGCAGCACTCTTTACAATAGCCAGAAACTGGAAGAAACCTGAATGCCCAAGAACAAGATGAATGGTTAAAGAAACTTTGGTACATCTACACAATGGAGTACTATGTAGCTGTTAGAAAAGATGAAGTCATGAAATTTACATACAAGTGGTACAACATGGAAAGTATCATGCTAAGCGAAATGAGTCAGAAAGAGAGGGATAGACATAGAAATATTGCATTCATCTGGGGGATATAAAGTAACAAAATATGAGATTAATACCCAAGAATAGCTGAGATCAGCACCAGGAGGATTACTCCATAACTTAGAGGCCAGCCGGGTACTCTAGGGGAAAGGGCAGCTCAGATAGAGAAGGGAGCACCAAATAAAGGGTGTTTGGAGGATCCTCCCAGGAAGGGAGATGCATGTCGAAAGTAGACTATGGACTAAACATGTTTGCCACTCAATGCCTCTTTTGCAGACCACAACACCCAAAAGGAGAGAGAGAACACAGGGGATTGCCCTGCCACAGAGGCAGGGGGGGATATGGGGATGGGGGTGGGGGGGATATTATCCATGGTGGTGGAAAATGGGCACTGGTGGAGGGATGGGTATCTGATCATTGTATAATCGAAACCCAAGCACAAAAAATAGTAAATCTACAACTGTACCTCATGGTGTTTCACTAATAAAAAAAAGAAATAAAAAAAATAAATAAAAAAGAGAGAGAGAAGAGCAGAAGTGCTGGTAGATGCAGCAGAAGCCGGGAAAAGTATTCGTAACACCCATATGTCCTTCGCCAACTACAAGACCAAGATGACTGCCCTCCGACGTCCTGATGGATCCATCACATCCTCCAGAACGGCAATGGAGAAGATTATCCATGACTTCTACTCAAATCTCTTCGATAGCCATGTCCACTTGCCGACATACCAAATTCCACAGGATGGATATGTTGTTCCCAACGTTCTCCCTTCCGAAATCCGACACGCCATTTCGTCGGTAAAGAAATGAACAGCACCCCGCCCAGACAAGGTCAGACCTGAACACCTGAAGAACCTGCCGTCAGTACTCATCAATACACTGGCTGGGCTCTTCACACGCTACCTCTCCGAATGCAAGTTTCCATCCCAATGGAAAACCAGCAGGACCGTACTACTGTTCAAGAAGGGAGACATCCATGACATTGGCAACTATCGCCCGATCTGCCTATTTTATGTCATCTACAAGTTGTTCACTCGAGTCATCCTAAATAGGATTGGCAGAACACTATATGAAGCACAATTATGCAAGCAAGCCGGGTTCCGCAAAGGATTCAGCACCATCTACCATATCCACACAATAACCAAGCTCATTGAGGTTTCTCGGGAGTTCAAGATGCCGCTCTGTTTAACGTTCATTGATTTAAAGAAGGCCTTTGATTCTGTTGAGACGAAAGCGGTCATTGAAACCCTAGCCAATCAGGGCATTCAAACCCAATACATCAAGATCCTCCGTGAGTTGGATTGCGGATTCACTACCAGGATCTCACCATTCTACAAAGAAGTAATCATTGATGTCAAGAGAGGGGTTCAGCAGGGTGATACCATTTCACCAAAACTCTTCAGTGCCACCCTCGAGAACATCATGCGACGACTGGAATGGGAAGGAATGGGAGTGAAGATAGATGGTCGACAACTACACCACCTCCGCTTTGCTGATGACATTGTTTTAATAACACCAAACATCAGCCAAGCGGCACAAATGCTGGCCGACTTTGACCGTGAGTGTGGAAAGGTAGGACTACAGCTGAATCTTACGAAAGCTAAATATAAAGATTCTTAATATTAAAGCTTCTTAATATTAAAGATTAAATATTTGTATATTTGTGAAGTTGCATGATGATACAAATCATTCTTAAAAGTCCTAGTTCTGTTCATTTTTAGTGTACTAGAATAAATAAGCTTAAAGTCCTTGTTTGTACCTTAATGTAAGGAGAAGGGTGATTTCTCAGCAGTTGAATAAGTACTGGCAGAGCATTTTCATCTACAACATATTGCTGACTAATAGGATTGCTTGTATGAGCAACACCTGTAAGAATCAACAAGGTAATTGTGTTTTTCCTCTAGGAAATGGTAAAGTGAAATATAGTTGATATTCGGGGTTTGATGAAATATCCTAGCAGTCTATAGCTAGTCGATTTGCTCGAGCGGGCCCAGTAACGTCTCCATTGGAGACTTTGTTGTTACTGTGTTTGGCATATCGAATACTAGAAAGATGCAATAAAGAATGCTTTGTTGGCACTATTTTACTAAACTGACAATTTTAATGTCATGTGAATAAACATGAAAATTTTCTGTTATCTGTTATGGTTTTCCAAAATAAAAAAAAATTATTATACTACCAAGGAATAATACAAACATAACCATTATTCCTTGAAGAAATGCTATGTGCTATATGTTTAGGCTTATAGTTGCTATTTTTCATAAAAAGTTTATTTTGATTAAAAATCACTAGTGTAGGTAACAGAGAGATAATATAGTGGGTAGGGTGCTTGCCTTGCCTGAAGTCAACCTAGGTTCGATGCACAACACATTATATGCATCCCCATACCTCACCAGGAATGATTCTTGAGCACAGAGCTAGGAGTAAGCACTGAGTGCCACCAGGTGTGGCTCCAAAACAAAACAAAAATCACTGGAGCAAATTACCTGGTTAAAATTTCTGGATTCAAAGCTGAAGAGGAACAGGAAGTAGGTACTTGTCTGGAAAGCAGTCACATTGGTTGTGACCCTCATTCGAATCCCCAGCACCACAAATGGTCCCCTGAGCACTGCCAGGGGTGACTCCTGAGCACAGAGCCAGAAGTAGCCACTATGCAGTTCTAGGTGTGACCCAACATCCTCTTTTTTTGGAATAAATAATTTTTTAAAACTTTGGATTTATTAAATATACATACCAAAAATGAAAAATAAACTTTAAATTAGAGGCCAAGTCTCAATAAAGAAATAGAAGTATTCTGTCACCTGGGATGTACATTAACACTGATTATGTGACTAGTCTTCATTCAACCAACAGGTATTGAATTTTCAATGCACTAGGTACTAGGGTAAAAAAGATGGCTATAGGGGTCCCATTAATAAATGATCATGTAATAACTGTGTTCCATGTAATAAGTGCTTTAATGTAGCTACAGAAAGGGACACACTTTCACCAAGAAGAGTAACTGCTTCTGAGGAGAGATAAAGGGCATAGGGATATTCTAAAGGGTGTACCATAACTCTAGCCCCTACAGGTAACATCTTAACTGTGGGGTTCAGTCAATTCCTAGTAAAGGCTTTTCCAAACTTATCCTACAAAAGCTTAAAAGCTTAAAATGCTAGTTGTGAATGGATCAAACTGATCCCAACAAACCTAACTGGCATATCAATAAAGAGTCCATTTTTAAAGGAAAACAAGATCCAGAATCAGTAAACTTAAAATTCAGAATTACTAAAATTCGATCACATCTTACACACAAATTGTAAGATATGAAATGACTATCAAAAATTGATAAAATATGTACAAAAATAGAATACTACATTGGAAATTAAGACACTGTTAATAGATCTTAAGGAAAACTAAATATGTGATTATGCCATATCTATGGAATGGAAACTTTGATAGTGTTTTTTCTTCCCAAATGCATTTATAAATTCAATACAATTACAATTTTAAAAAGCAGGAAATTTTCATAAATTGGTGGGTAATTTTGAAAATCATATTGAAATACAAAGAATCTGGAACAGTCAAACAACTTCAAAAATATGTATCAAGGTCAATGATCTTACATGACCTATATTCAAGGTTTACTATAAACCTAAGATAGTAAGTAAGGCATGAGAAAATAATAAGGTAGACAAGTAGGTAAATACAGCAGAGCAAAGAGTTCAGAAATTGACCTTCAGATATATAATGAGTTGATATTTTTAATTTTTAATTTTTTTTGGGGGGTCACACCTAGCAGTACTCAGTGAGCCATGTGGTTCTAAAGATCAAACACAGGTTTTCTGCATGAAAAACATGCTCGTGCACGTTTTTTTTCTAGTTGGGGAGGCACACTCAGCTGTGCTCAGACCACACCCCTGGTAGAACTTGGGTACCATATGTGGTGCCAAGGATCAAACAGACGTTTGTTGCATGTAAGTTAAGTGCACTACCCTCTTTCATATCTCTCTGGCCCCATGAACTACAGTATTTTGAACCATCTTCTTAACTCCTAGTGGAATGATTTCTGACGAAAATTTACATAATTTAATGGAGGAAAAATTACTATTTAAAAAAAAATTTTACCCCTCCACTTTATTCGTCGTCCCCCAATACCTATGTCCACAGGTCATCTTAATTCTATTATCAGTTCTACTTGTTTGTCTGTTTTCAGCGGGAGGGCATGCCCAGCTGTGCTCAGGGGCTGTTCCTGGCTCTGTGTTCAGGAGGGGTCCATGCTGGCACTCATGGTGTGGGACTTGAATTGCGGTTGGCCGGATACTAGGCAAGTGCATTAACCCCTGTACTATCTTTCCACCCTGATTAGTTTGTCTTTCCCTTATTTTGCTTTGCATAGTTCCTAAGAGATCCTTCCATTTTGTTGCAAATGAAGTTTTTTCATAAATCGACTCTCCCTGACTGCCCCACTCCCGTGGTACTGGGCATTGAGTATAAATATCCTGCATGCAAAACAAACATATAATTTACCACTGATTAAGCCCACAATTCCTTTAAGTTAAAACAGCCAAGCTTTATTGTCCTATTTCTCTTTTAAACCAGAGCTCATGAGTCAGGTTGAAATAAAATGCTTAATTATCTGTAACATTTATACTTGCTATCAGGTCTTGAAGACATAAAATAATAATAACCTTTCATAGAGTAAATGTTTTAGGGCCCAGTGAGATAGATTGGAAGAGAAGTGTCTTATTGATATTTTTAAAACTTAAAATGTATACCAACCAATACAAATGGATCCCACTGCTTTAACGACACTCAGAAGTGTGCCTTCAGCAATTTTACTAATCCGTAGTAAGCGAACCAGTGGAGCAATTCCATTCCCTTCACATATTTGATTCTGGTGCAACCTGCTATCCTTACTTAGAGCTATGACTGCTTCACCTCCTGGTAAAGAAAAGCAAGAAATGTGTGACTGTCTCATGTTTTGTTCCACATTGTGCCATTAGATGCATAGAAAATAACATACCAACATACTGCATTTTTGCTGATGGTGACAAGAGCATATTTATTATGAAGTTGTATCCAATCTGTTCGGCCATAAATTTTTGTTGTTTCAGTGTTTGTCCTGCCAAGGCCCATAGTGCCACAGCGCCTTGTTCCTTAGCATCTATTTGAAATACCTATTAAAATATATATATATTTTATGTGTATATATACATATATATAACATATACATTCATCAACAACTTAGTATTTGTATCACAGTACAGCAACTATGTTTAATATGTTAATTTCAGAATCGGTTTTAGTTTTACTTAACAAAATTCATTGCTGTGTACTTTGTCTAAGAAAACTGACAAGCATGAAAATCTTACCTTGAGGAGTTTTAAGAGATATTTAGTTAATGAATTTTCCAAAAACGCTCTCTGTAAACGAGAGTTGAAACTTGCCAGTGACTCCACAGCCAGAGCTCCCTTCACCTGGACACTGAGGTGGTTTCCTTTAAAAATAGCAATGAGTGGAGGAATAACTCCTTCCGCAGCCAGGGAGTTCTGAATTTCCTTATTGTCACGTGCAACCTCGGCGATGGTGGCAGAGGCAACAGCTCTCAGTGCATCTTCAAATAAATTCAAGACCTCGCTAAATAAATCTTTTTAAAAGCAACCTTTTCAGTATGTAACAGGTCATTAGTTCCCTACAGTGTAAAATCAAATTTATTGCATACATAGAAATTTAAAAAGAAAACTGCCCGCATTTTCTCCTCCAAATAAAATAAAACACATAATTTAATCTCGTCACTTTTTACAAATACTGAGAGATTGCTCGAGGTAAAGACCCTCCCGTTGATTGTCGATTTGCTCAAGCGGGCCCAGTAACGTCTCCATTGGAGACTTTGTTGTGACTGTGTCTGGCATATCGAATACTCTCGGTAGCTTGCCAGGCTCTCTGAGAGGGGCGGAGGAATCAAACTCGGGTCGGCCATGTTGGCCGCTTGTAAGGTGAACGCCCTACCGCTGTGCTATCACTCCAGCCCTTACTGAGAGATAGTGTAGGGTTAATCCATTTTCTTTGCATGAGGCAAACCCAGTATAATCCCTAGCATTGGTGAGTGTGCCCCAAACCATTGTAACCCCCACACCCGTAAAGAAAGACATAGCGCTACAGACATATTCAATTCAGAAATTCTACAAATATAACACCTAGCATTTTATTTACCAGCAAAGCATTTTTCCATTTTATGTTACCATCAATGTTTCCTAACTGTTCCACACCACCCTTCCCTTGTTATTTAAGATTTATATGTCATTATCAGCTTTTCACTGTCTTATGTAATGCTAAGGAGAAATATTTGCACATTAAGGTATTTCCCTCTTGCCTCTACTTTTCACTTGGTAGAATACCAGGAACCACTGCAATAATCAATGCACCCAAGTAAATTGTTTGTCAAATGATAAGTAGCATCATCTACGTCCTAAATTTAAAGCATAGCTACCAGGGTGGAAATGATAGTTCAGCCCGTAGGGTGCTTGCCTTGCACACGTCCTGCCTGGGTTCCATCCCCAGCATCCCATATAGTCCACTAAGCACCGCCAGGTGTAAGTCTTGAGTTTAGAGCCAGGAGTGACCCTTGAGCATCACTGGGAGTGGCCCAAAACCCAAAACATAACACTCAATGTTACTGAGTATTATCATTAATAATAAATACATAAATAAATTTGTCAGTTTGACACAGACAAATGTATTGCCTATTTTGGATTCCTGTTCAATTTAAACATTTTCATATATGGTTATTGCTAGTTGTTTTTGTTCTCTTTAAATATTTTTTTGAGGGGGGGGACTCACCCTGTGGTGCTCAGGGTTTACTCCTGGCTCTGCACTTAGGGATTACTCCTGGTGGTACTGAGGGGGCCAGGGATTGAAATTGGGTCAGCCGAGTGCAAGGCACCACATTATCCACTGTACTTTCTCTCTGGAACCTTTTGTCTTTAAAACTTACAAATAAGTCAGGACATTTTTAAAAATTTAATTTTATTTTTATAAAGTTGTTTTCAAAAATTTATTACATTCAGTATCCCAACCCAGTCCAACCACCGTTATACCTTCTCACTACTAGTTTCAAGTTTTCCCACCACCAAACCAAAAGCAGGTCCTAAATAATTTATTTTGTATTGTTGATATGAATAATCCTCTAAAAATGACCCCAAAAAGTTATCAGTCAGAACTTTTATATGTATCATGGACTCATACATATATAATATTTTGCCATATTGATTATTTCAATATTTTTTTGAATTTTAGTGTAGCACTGTAGCACTGTCCTTCCATTGATTGTTCATTGATTTGCTCTAGCGGGCCCAGTAACATCTCCATCGTGAGACTTGTTGTTACTGTGTTTGGCATATTGAATACATCACGGGTTGCTTGCCAGGCTTTGCCGGAGGGCGAGATACTCTTGGTAGCTTGCCAGGCTTTCCGAGAGGGGTGGAGGAATTGAACCCAGCTCAGTCAGGCCAGCTGCACACTAGGCAACTGCCCTACTGCTGTGCTATCACTCCAGCCCAGAACTGAAATAAATATAAATAGCCAGGTGGAAGGAACATTGCCCCCCTTTTTGGGAGGACACAAATATGGCAATGCTCAGGGATTACCCCTAGCTGTGCACTCAGGGATCACTCCTGATGGGTTTAGGGGACCATATGGGATGCCGGGGATTAAACCAGGGTCTGCCACATGCAAGGCAAGTGCTCTACCCGCTGTATTTGCTAGCCCTCAGGAGCATTGAAATTTGGACACTTTATCTTTCGGTTTTGGGGCCACACTGAGTAGTGCTCAGGGCTTACTCCTGGCTCTGCACTCAAGGATCGAGACCCCTGGAGGAGTATGGGCAGGAGTGCCAGGGATTGAACCTGGGTTGGCCACATACAAGGCAAGTGTACTATAGCTCCGGCCCCATAGACACTTAGTTATTTTAAAAATAATTCATTACATAACCCATATAGCTAGCCACATATAGCACTATCTATCAATATCTACCAAACCATGTTTATATACCCATGTACCTATATCTCTATATCTCTATCAAAGGAAAACCTGTCATTCTTTTTGTGTGTGTGTGGGGGGGGGGGTTCACACCGGCGATGCACAGGAGTTACTCCTGATTTTGCGCTCAGGAATTACTCCTGGCGGTGCTCCGGGGACCATATGGGATGCTGAGAAACGAACCTGGGTCAGCCACATGCAAGGCAAATACCCTCCCCACTGTACTATCGCTCCAACCCGTTTTCTAATCACCAAAGTACAGAGAGCCGGGACAGGCTGTCAGAAGGCAGGGAAGTCAGGAGCGGAATCTTCAGGTTATCTGGAAGATACGCTGGGATCTGAAGGAAGGGCAGCTATGGGGGAAGTTAATCCAGAGCTCAAGAATAACCTCAGCTGCACAGGAATATAAGCTATGTATAAAAACATGTCTCTTTTAAACCACTACGTCATTACTTCTTATATATATCATTGCTTCGGTTTGGCCTAAAAATCTTTGCATATAGAAACAATGTTATTTTTTGTGCAGTGGGGTTATTTGAGTCACACCTGGCTGTGCTCAGGACTTCCTTCAGACTCTGAACTTGGGGATCACTCCTGGTGGGGCTCGACAGGACCAGATGGGGTGCCAAGCATCAACCCTGGGTCGGCTGCATGCAGGACAAGCGCCTGCCCGGCTGCACTGTCTCTCCGGCCCCTTGAAAGGAAATTCAAGGAAGTGGAGGGGACGCATTCTGGTAGAGATGAGAGAGACGGAGACTGGTGTTCGGGGAAACTGAGCTGAGGATGGGCCAGACCACCGTCAGCCGCCAGGGCCAGGAAGTTGGGGCTGGGTTCGGTGCAGAGTGCCAAGTGGGGCGGGGGGGGGGGGCACATTGTACAACACGAAGATGTGTGTGAGCCTGATGATCGGCAGGAGAGTCAGGGGAGCGCCCTGGACTTCGGCCCAAGGGCAATGGGAGCTCCAGTCTTATCTGATCCAGACGGTTGGCAGCTTTCTAGTGTAAGTAGCATAATTTCAATCATGTTAATGTTTATGGTATTGATTATCGACGTTATTGCACCCTCTACAACCAAGGTGCTCCACTCCCTCTGCCACTGTCCCTATGTCACCTCTACTCCATCTGTTCATCTTATTATCCCCAGGCCCCCAACCTTCACTCCACTGCTTGGTAATCTTTTTAAATCCAATGCAAAGGGTGTGTCATTGTTAAATACAGTCTGTTGCCTTCTTTTATCTAATATCACAGATACGTGAGATCAACTGGCATTTGTCCTTCTCCCTCTAAACTTATTTCTCTTAACATGACACCCTCCAGTTACATCCATGTTGCATCACTCTTTATAACTTAATCTTTTATGATAGCTACATAGTACTGTTACATTGTGTATATAAATCATAACTTCTTTATCCATTCATCTGTCATTGGACATCTGAGATGTTTCCATATCCTAGTGATACTAAGTGCTGAAATGGGCATAATTGTGCTTACGTATTTTTGAATTTATGTTTTGTGTGTGTGTAAGAGAGATTATAAGAAGTGGAATAACCGAATCATAAGGACTTTCTTTTTTTTTGAGAAATCTTCATGCGAGTTTCCATAAAGGCTGAACCAAACAGTAATCCCACCAACACTGGTTGTTTCAAGTATTTCCACTGGTAATTGAAACTGGTGAGACTGGTGCTAAAACATAGTATGACTAAAGTCCAATTATGAAAAACTTTATAAATCATGGTGTCTTAATGAAAAAATTAAAATTCAATTTGAAAATTCCAAACAGATACTGGATATTAAAACACAATAAATGAGTCTCTCTGGGAAGCATAATAAATAGGATCAATCTTGTAGGGAGTAATAATTGGAATAAAATTGCTATTATTCAGATAAAATTCCAGTAAAAGTACAAATAGAAGATATGAGAGAAATAATATTCAGGGAGTTGAAGAAAGAAACCCTTTTGGAGTTATTTAATCTTATTAAAAAAAAGACATAAGGGATTTACCAGAAGGTGAAAAGAGAGAAGGGAACAAAGTGCTTGAAAGAAATAATAACAGACTAAAAGGCAATCTCATAAAAATAAAAGCTTAAATCAGCAGATAAAAATAACCTCAATCTCACATGATACTTTAAGGATCTAGAACAAATGAAATCTAGAGTCAGTAGAAGGAAAATAATAAAAAATTAGAGTGGAAAAAATAAATTGTAAACTAAAAAGTCAATATAAGGATTAGTGAAACCATGAGCCTGTTGTTCAAAAAACTGAAGTTGACAGACTCTTAGCTATGTTCAAGCAAAAAAAAAGTGAAAACCCTCATAAATAGAATTATAAAAAAGAAAAATTATAACAGATGCTGCAGAAATGTAAAGTATCATAAGAAACCACTAAGGACAACTACTTATGCCACTTTAAGTTGGAGAACTTAGAAAAACTGGATTAGAATCATACCACTTACTGGGATCAGTAGGAAATAGAAAATTAGAACACAGAGACCAATTACAAGCAATGACATTGAAGCTATAATAAAGTCTCTCCCCAAGCAAAAGCCCAGGTGGTTTTGCAAACCATAAGGCCAAAAAGGGAGGGTGGGAGGGAGGGAAGGAGCGAAAGGGGAAGAGAGGGAGAAGGAGAAGAATCCTACTGTGGGGGGGGGGGGGGAGAGGGGAGGCACAATGGCAAAAGCCACTAATGGTTTTATTAGTGAGTTCTACAAAACCCTCAAAAATGCCTAATAACTATGCTTCTCAAGTTTTTCCATAAAGCTAGGGGGAAAAACATCCACAATTATTTCAAATACTTTCTATTAGTTCAACATTACCCTAATGTCAAAAGCAATTGGAGATATGACAAGAGAAAACTAAAGAGCAGTATCCCTATTGAACATGATGTAAAAATTCTCAAAAAAAATTTTAGTCAAGTAAATTCAACAATACATTAAAATATACAGATATTATGTTCAAGTGGTATGCATTCAGGGATGTAAGACATATGTGACACATGCAAACTATAGTACTACAGCCCTTCAACGAAAGATTTAAAACACATTATTTCAATAAACATAAAGATTTGACAATTTTCAAAATCTGTTTGAGATTTTTATTTATTTATTTTTATTTATTTAGTTTTTGCTTTTTCGGTCACACCCAGCAATGCACAGGGGTTACTCCTGGCTCTACACTCAGGAATTACTCCTGGCGATGCTCAGGGGACCATATGGGTTGCTGGGAATTGAACCCGGGTTGGCTGCCTGCAAGGCAAACGCCCTACTCACTGAGCTATTGCTCCAGCCCCAAGATTTATTTTTAATTCAAAATTTTTTTTATTGAATTAGAGTGATATACACAGTTACAAAGTTGTTCATGATTGGGTTTCAGTCATATAATGTTTCACAGCCATCCCTTCACCATTGTATATTTTCTACCAACAATGTTCCCAGTTTCTCTCTCGTCTCCCCTCTCCCCCCCCGCCAAACACACAGTAGGATTCTTCTCCTTCTCCCTCTCTTCCCCTTTCTCTCCTTCCCTCCCTCCCACCCTCCCTTTTGGGTCTTATGGTTTGCAATACAGATAATGAAAGGTTATCAAGTATATGCCTTTATCTTGGGACATTTTTTTTAATATCAACAAAATGGAACTGAAGGAATATACCTCATATAGTAAAGCGATATGTGACAAGTCCACCACTAATATGCTCATTGGAAAAACACTAAAAGAATATCATTGGTGTCTGATTTTAGAGACATTTAGTCTCTAAAATGATATTCTCATCACTTTTATTCAACATAGTACTGGAATTTCTAGTAACAGCAGTTAGGGAAGAAAAAAATTTTACAAGGTCTAGGAATATAAGAATTGGGGTTAAAGAGTTTGCCTGGCACACACTCAATCTTGGTCAAACCAGTACCACATATGAGAGTAATCCCTGAACACAGAGCCATGAGTTAGTCCTAATACTGCCAAATATGGTTTTAAAAATGATCAAAACACAATAAAAAATAAGTAAACTAAGATAGAGAAAGAGGCTCACCTGAATTAGAGCTCAGAAATGAGATAAGATATGGGATGCCTTTATGGTCTCTTACTGCTCTTTGGTTATTTTTATTTCCCATGCACAGTACCTGTATACAGTTCATTACATTGATTAGCACATTTTCTATGTTGAGTTTCAAAAGATTTATCAGACTTGGGATTCCATTCTAAAAATAGAGACAAAAATGTAATTAAAACTAAATTTCTTTTAAGATGCATACACTCTTGGGCCATAGATTATAGCTCAACAATAAAACACTTACCTTGTATGTGAATGTCCTGGGTTTAATCCCCAGAACAACAAAAAAAAGCAAAAAACAAAGGCAAATAAACAAAAACCCAACAGTGCCATATTTATTTAGAAAGATTATTATTTTAAAAGATTATTTAAAAAGATTATTCCATAATCTTTTTCGCTATAAACATATGTTCATTTAGGAAAAAACATAAATATATCTACAGATATAATACATTGTCAGTGCAGTTTTGAGTAGATCCATACTTTATATTAAATTAAATATATAAATGCCTCTTAAAATAACCTCTTTTATACCAAAAATAATTTGAAGCTGTAATTTTCCTGAAACACTTTATAAATATCTAAAATTAAAGCAACTAAGACTAAATAACAGGGAAACTGAATATGCTTGCAATCATAGATTGTAATTGTCAATTATGTTTGTGTAGTACAAATATATTATTTTGAATGTGGATATGGTCTCATGGAATACAGGTAGCATTATTCCCAACTAACAGAAACAATACCAAAGATATTAGGATAAAAATAAATGCAATCTGGATCTAGAGTTACAGAACAGCAGGTAGGGTATTTGCCTTGCATGCAGCCAACTCAGGTTTGATCTCTGGCACCCCATATGGTCCTGAGCCTCGCCAGGAGTGTTCTCTGAGCGCAGAGCCAGGAGTAACCCTGAACACTGTTGGGTGTGGCCCCAACCCCCCAAACAAAACAAAACACAAAGCAAACTCGCTCTTTATCATACTAGGATAGTTCTGTAACGTTGAGCCACAATAAATTTTTTTTTCTTTTTTTTTTTTCTTTTTTATTAGTGAAAAACCATGAGGTACAGTTATAGGCTTACAAATTTTGTGCTTGGGTTTCAGTTATACAATGATCAAGTCCCCATACCTCCACCAGTTCCCGTCATCCATCCCCATGGGTCCCAGCATCCCCCCCACCCTCATCTCCCCCCCCCCCCCGTCCCATCCTGCCTCTGTGGCAGGGTATTCCCCCTTGTTCTCTCTCTCTTCTTTTGGGTACTGTGTTTTGCAAGAGAGGCTTTGAGTGGGAGCCACAATAAATTTTTATGAGTTGCAGAGAGTGATGAAAGAGACCTCAGTAGCCACTGACAACAGGAAATACTGGCAGAGCAGTTTCCAAAATGGTTCTCTCTTGAAGGGAAGAAAAATATACACAAAGTACCTGATGACTGAACTTTCAAGCTATAATAAAGAAAATGACCATATTCTGCCATTTCCACTATAGCCTCTTTGGGTTCAAATACCCTTGTCTGTCACCCAGATTACTGCAGAAGTTTCTTGGGGATACGGGATACTCCCAGGTGGTAGTCTTGGGGTACCCAGTCTGCCCCCAGCAATAATTGGCCCTGCTGTGTCAGCAGCACCAATGGAAGTTAGGTGGAAGTTTAGCAGTGTCGAGGGTTTAAAGGCCTTTTTTTCACACATGTTGTGTTCCATCCTTTCCCAATCAAGCTATGAATACCTCGTGGAACTATCCAGAATAAAATAACTCTCTGGTTTAACATATTCTGAGTAAATACCAAGGTGTATAACAAGTGCCCACATAGCCCTCCATGATGGGGTCCACCATCACGCAGCTAAAATTGCCTATTTCTCTCCCTTCAGTTGTGTTTCCTTTTGTGCTATTCCTTGAGCATGGCAGGAACTTGCTTTTTACTTGTTCCCCCTGCCTAGAATGCTTTTCCCAATAGAAAAACCTATGCTGCACTCCCTCATCTACTTTAGGTCCACACTCAGTTGCCAGGTTCTTGGTGAAGTGATTTTCACTGAATTACCTCTCTCCCCCTTCCCTGCTTCATTTCCCTCTTTAATGCCTATTTTCATCTAACGTGCTCAATATTTTATTTATTTCCTTTTTTTGTTATCCTTTTGAGTACCTTCAGCTAGAATAATAGCTCCACAAGGGCTGGGATTTTGTTTTAATCGTAGTTATAGCCCCAGCATCTAGAATAGTATCTGGCTTATAATTAAATCTCAATAAATACTTGTATAAATATCTAAAAGAATATTATAGAAACCACATTTTTAAAACGTGAATTCAAGAAAACATTCCAAAATGAAGTGAAGATATACATGTTGAAAAGATATACCAAGTCTCAGGAAAGATAGGAACTAATGTTGATATATGAGTTCTAGATTTTAAAGATAACACACACACACACACACACAACAAAGAGAAAACAATCAGATTAAAAAACACATCAGATTAAAAAAAAAGTATCACAGAACTAAAAAGTATTACATGAATAAATATAAGTGATCCATACTTTAAAAGAAAAGTGAACAACAAAGAAAGCTCTACACATATTGCAATGCAAGGAACTCATTTATCCTACCTCTAGATAACTATTAGATTCACTGGAAAAGATAAGATCTAAATGATAAAGACTAACAGACCAACTAATTTTTTTTTCTTTTTGGATCACACCCAGTGATGCTCAGGGGTTACTCATGGCTCTGCACTCAAGAAATTACTCCTGGCAGTGCTCGGAGAAGCAAAAGGGATGCCGAGATCAAACCTAAGTGGGCCATGCAAGGCAAATGCCCCACCCACTGTAGTTTTGCTCCAGCCCCACAGACCAACTAATTTTGAAGGTGAGTTGCAGGTATCTAGATTTCTAATTTATTATCGGAAGGAATAGTAAGTCAACCAAAAGAAAGAGAATAGCAATGAAAAGTCAAAAAGTGGGGAAGAGGGGGATGGGCAATGTCAAATTAGACACAGAGCACAGGGAAAACAAATCACAAATATAATTTCAAGCAAGATAGAATTCAGTGCAAAGATATTACAAAGGGAAAAGGACACATCCTATTATCTAATACAAAATGAACCCATCCATAATGAAGAAACATCACTTGGAGAAAGACTAGTTACATACAAATATTAGTCAAATGATCTTAATAAAAATATTAGCAAATAGAGAAGAGTAATAGTATAGCAGTTAGACAAATTGCCTTGCACATGGCTGACCTGGATTTGATCCCCACCACTTTATATGTTCCCTTAATTCCCACCAGGGGTTATATCTGAGTGCAGAGCCAAGAATCAGCCCTGAGCACTGTCATGTGTGGTCCCATCCTTCCAACCCCCACCCCACAAAAGCCAAAAATATAGTAAACACAATACAATGAATTATATTTGAGGAAATGTAGCATAGCAAAGACTTCTTAGTGTTCAAAAAGATAACTTTCTTCTAATTCTTTCTGCTACACATTTAGACAACAATCACCAGTCAGAACAGAAAGATCCAGGTAATGCTGATTCTGATAGTATTTTCTCATCAATAGCATGAAGCTATCTCTGCCTATAGCTACATAGATATTGGCTGGCTTACTGGGTTATCCTAAATAATAATTTTACCATATTTCTTTTGTCTGAAAAATTAAAAAGAAAAAAAGTCTTCTCTGGCCTCTTGAATTCCTACCTGTATTTTCAGTAGATCAGGATTGTAACAGTTCTTTCATCTGGGCTACCCCTCACAATTTTTAGGTTGCTAGCAAACTTGAAAGGGGTGGTTCTCTCTCTCTCTCTCTCTCTCTCTCTCTCTCTCTCTCTCTCTCTCTCTCTTTCTCTCTCTCTATCTCTCCCCCCCTCTCCCCTCCTTTCTTCCTCCCCCCCACCTCCAGTAGACTGGCTTACTGTTTGTTGTCAAAGTGATAAAGTTCCTTTCTTTGTTTTGTTTTTGTGGACCAGTAGTGCTCAGGAGCTATGTGCTCTGGAGTGGCTCCCGGCAGTACTCAGGAAATCAATATCTGGTGCTGGGAATCGAACCTGGGACGGTTGTATGCTAGGCAGACAGACACCTTAACCCCTGTGCTATTTCTCTAGCCCCATAGTGATAAACTGGGTTCACTGTGTCACATTGCGGGGCTTGGAAATGGGAAACCAAGGACTCAGGTGAATTTTGTGCCCTTTTCTAAGTTTCCTCCCAAACTGTTCTGCTGTTTTCTCCTGGCACTTGTGTCCTCATGGCAACTTTGTTTCATTGCTGTCCTTACTAAGATCATACTTCTTCCAAACTGGAACTTTTTTTTTTTTGCTGCACAATAACATGGGTATATTTCTCTTCCTAGCTTTTATAAGAGATTACGATAAGATAGGACAAGAAGAGGAGAACTTACATATTGGGCGATAACATCCTTATTTTCAAATTTGGCGATATCATAAAGAATGACAGCACAACGAGACTGTAGTTCAGGTTCATCGGAGTCCAGTAGATTGATCAGAGCTGGAATGCCTCCCGCATCTACTATGGCTTGCACCACACTTTCATGGGTTGAAATATTACTCAGCAACCCAACTGTTTTGCACTGCAATTTTATTCTGGGAATTTTTAATATGTTGATTAAGGCAGAAATGGTGCCTGCAAAAAGATATTTTTTTAAAGTGGATGATTTATAACCATTTGAGATCAATTTAGCATACTACTTAAATAATGTTCCTGGGGCCAAAGAGATAGTTCAGTGTGTTGGGCACTTGTACAAGGACAAGCTGGGTTTGTTCTCCATTATCTCATATGGTTCCCCAAGCACCACTAAGAGTAATTCCCAAGTGCAGAGCCAGGAGTGAATCCTGTGCACCGCCAGATGTAGCCCAAAACCGAAAACTAAAAAGGTTCCTGGGTATTAGCCACATAAACAATTAATATATATAATTCTTTTTTAAATTTTTAATTAATTTTAACATATATGATTCTATAAAATAGTTTTGATATTATAATACATGAGTGAGTTTTTCTGTATCATTTATCATATAGGTAAGTTTTAGTTCATGGATTTGATTTTCGTACAGTACACACTTACACATTTCATATTGCTAACCTTAAGTCATCAAATTTTGTCAAAGTTTTTCTGAAGCACTAAATTTTGAATGAATATGACTAAGAAAGAAATTTCTTGAATATTATACAATAGAGCTCAATTTTTGTTATTGTGTCAGATTTATGTGGCAGTGTGTGTGCAGATATTTGTGCATTTGATCCCATTTTACCCATATTTTATATATAAAGTTGGAAAACAAAATGTCAAATACAGTAAAAAAAATCAACCTTAGTCTCATTAATTAGGGTTGATTCGAAGATGTGAATCATTGTGTTTGGTCAAAATAGAAAATCTGGCTTCCACTGAAAACTTCTGATACTTGGTTCAGTGTCATGTGAAAAACAAGGGTATATACAGAGCATACATAAAGTGGGCTGGAGCAATAGCACGGTGGTAGGGTGTTTGCCTTGCAAGCCACCGGCCGAGCTGAGCCAGGTTCAATTCCCCTGCCCCTCTCGGAGAACCCGGTAAGCTACCGAGATACTCTCGGTAGCATGGCAAAGCCTGGTAAGCTACCCGTGACATATTCGATATGCCAAACACAGTAACAACAAGTCTCACAATGGAGACGTTACTGGGCCCATGGAGCAAATTGATGAACAATGGGAGGACAATGCTATACACAAAGTGGAGAATATAGGAGTACATAAGGTCTGCATAAATAAAGTCCTAATGGGCCTTTATCTATTTAAAGCAAAACCTTTTTCATGAATTATTTATCTATGGTTCACTTTGTGGACATAGAGCTGTGTGTGAGTATGGGGGGGGTGTATGAGGAGGGTGTGAGGGGAGGTCTTTTAGGGAAACATTGAGGATTAATATACATTTTTATTTAGTCATTCAACAAATATTGATTGAGTATATAATGTATGTTCAAAGTTTAAATTAGAATAGTGGCAAGCATATTGGACAGTCCAGAGAAAACATTTTCATCATCTCAGAAAGTTGTATAGGACAGTAGTTCTCAAAACAACCCTAGCAGGCAGGAACATGAACAAATTTGTTTTTTCTCTCCAAAACCACTTTTATTTCCGAGTCATTTTTCTGGGCCTACCCAGCTTCACTTTGAAACTGAGCATTTTGTTTCTAGTGAAAGGTCTTCCAGAACTCTCTTTTCTTTGCCCTGACTTCTCTGCAACAAGTCCCATTTCAGAAGACACCAGCTTTATCTGTCCAGGGTCTGCAGTGAAGATGGTGAGAACATGAAACAGAGCCCCCCTCCCAACCCCACCCCCAAACTTAAAAGGGACATTGAACAAAAATTTGATTCAAGCATTAGTCATGCAAATGGAAGAAAATTGCAGGCTGAAGGAAGAGTTAAGAGACAAAGACCCTAGCCCAATATCTTTAGATATTCAGAATTCCATCATCTCTTTAAAATTTTTTTAAAAATAAACTGTTTATCATATCTTTTACAGATAGCAATAGTTTCTAATAGATAGTTCTTCTATGTAAATGATAGCTCTTACAACTTTTACTCATAAATTTTTTTTTACATTCAGTTATGAGACATTTTTAGGTTTAGGTGAGCTGGACAGTACAGAAGTTAAGTGCTTGCTTTGCACGTTGTTGACCCTAATTTGATCCTGGATATGGTTCCCTCAAGCACTATGAGGAGTGACCCCTGAGCACAGAACCAGAAGCCCTTCGGACAAAAATAAAGGAAAAAAAGAGAAAAAAATTAGGAGTACATAAGCAATTCTCCTAAGTTCTAAATGTATAGGTAATTAATATGCATGATATCCCATGATTAAGTAATTTAACATCATATTATTTTAATTTTTGCTTTGATCTTGGGACCACGAGCCCCAAGTGGTACATAGGAGGTCACATTAAGGCTGAGGATGAAGTGCTCCATAGGGCCCTATGGTGCTGGAGACCACACAGACCAGCAGTGCTCAGGGCTTCCAGGGCCACGCCAGAACATGAGGCTTAGGGGACCATATGTTGCAAGGGATCGAACCAGAATCAGCCACATAACAGGCATATGTGCCTTAATCCCTGAACTATTACATCAGCCCCAAATATTATTTCATAGCTTACAAATTCTGAAGAATTGAAGTTTACACAGTGTTTGTTTCCATGCAGCTTCCATAAAATAAAGAGATTGATGAATAAAGAAAGTGATATTCATGTAAGGAAACACTGAATTAAGTTGTAGCTCAAACATAAAATAGTATAAACAAAAAATAATAAATTTTGTATCACCTGCATCCAAAATAAATTTCCAGTATGTCTCAGTTGCTAAGCAAATTACTTCTAAGGACATGACAGCCATCATCCTTCGTTTGTAGCTTTCACACTGCAACATTTCTGGTAAATATTCAACAGAAAAACACTCATTATTTTACCAGGGGGAATGGAACAGCTGATTCTGTTTCTGTATAAGTGGAGTAAAGCAAAGAGTTTAGATACAGACCAACTGCACTTCTCAAATCCCCGTGTGTGTGTGGCCTTTGTGGATGCCTGACAGACTTCAGAGACCAGGATCACTGTTCTTTACAATCCATATAATTATTGCCCAGACTTCTAAAATATTTTGTATTTGATGGGAATAATTGAGATTGACTGATCACATGATTTAAATTCACTTGGAAAATAGTATACATCTTTAGCCTGAAATCAGTTGGTAAATAAAATTTAAGCTGGGGTTTTCTTTTCTTTCTTTTTTTTTTTTTAAATACAGGAGTACTGCTATTTTTTCAGTCATTGATTAAGCTGATTGAATTGGGTATGAACTCCACATTTCTTTTTTTAAAATTTTTCATTGAATATCTGTGAGAGAGACCATTACAAAGGTGTTCATAATTGAGTTTCAGTCACAAAATGATCCAGCACCCATCCCTCCACAAGTGTACATTTCCCAGCAATAATATCCCCTGCTTCCCTCACTTCACCCCCTACCCCCAGCCTCGCTCTATGGGGAGGCATTTTCCTTCTTGCTTTCTCTCTCTCTCTCTCTCTCTCTCTCTCTCTCCTTTTCCTTTTGTGCAGTATGGTTTTCAATAGTGTTAAGAGATCATGGTGTTGGTTCAGAGCATTTAGTATTTTTATTGGGACAGTAAGGCTGGAGTAGGTTTTTAATTGGGTGGCAGCTTTGGGGTATGGATGTGACTGCTGAGGTTTCCTGAAGTACAGGGAGTTGGGGGAGGGGGTAGCCCATCCCACCCCCAAGAAAGCTGGAGATTTCAGTCACAAAACCTATATACCAGAAGTTTTAGCAGATTATGTCTTGGTGAGGTCCATCCTGTGATGGTGGAATCAGGCCAAGGGTATGGCGGCAATGTTGGATTGTGAGAGCAAGTGGCTGCTGGAGGTTCTGCTTCGGTGGGCACCAGACTGGCACACCCCCTTCGATTTACTCCATTCTGTTCAGCTTTGGGCAGATTTGCGATCTCTTTTGAGATCAAAAACTGTGGCTTTTGATCCCTTTCGAGATTTAGTTATAGATCTCTGAAGCAAGGCCGGTAGAAGAGCTTACATGGCACTGGAATTTGTTCCTGGGGGGTGACTACCAGTACTCCCAGGAGTATTGAAAAGTCCCAGGAGTATTGAAAAGTGGGGGGAAGGTCGCCCATTCCAACTCCAAGTAAGCCTGGAGATTTCAGTCACAAAATCCACATATCCAAATTTTCAGCAAATTTTATCTTAGTGAGATCCATCCTGAGATGGTGGGGTAAGGCCGTGGGTATGGCAGCGATTTTGGATTTTGGAAGCAAGCGGCTGATGGGAGCTCTTGAGCTGGCGCTTTTAAGAAAAGCAAAGTAAAACACACGAGGTTTTTTCAATACGAATATTATTGAATTCAAGCAAATTTTCTAGGTAGACAGAATATAACTTTGGAAAAAAACACTAACAACTTTTTCTACAAAACAATTATCAAAATATGAGAAAACATATTGAATCTGTCTCTAAAATATGTAAGTTTAGGAAAAATTCTAGGGAATCTTTTCCACTCAAACTTTTCTTCCTTTTTTCCTTCCTTTGTTTCTATTTTGGTTATTACCTTTTATGATAAAGGAAATGGTTAGATTTTGGAGGAAATTAGAAACTAAAAAATATATATAATTGTGTAAGATATCTGGATATTATTCTTTAAATTAGAAATAAAGCTATGTTTGTACTCAATATGTGTAGCTTAATATTATTTATATAGCTGGTTTTAAATAAAAAATTGGGGGAGATGTTAAGATATTTAAAATGTGATACATGTATTTTTATTTGTTCTGTTCAGACTCTTTGTCAATAATTAAACTGAGTACTAATAAGAATATCAATTTATAAAGAGACTACATGTTCCATACTCACCTACTAAAGTTTTCCAAACTGGGAGCTCAGGAAAATTCAGCGTTATTAAATATTTAAGAACCTCTGTGTGAAAGGTCAGCACTGATAAATGTATTATATTATTTCCTTTGTTATCTGTTTTTCTCCAGTTTGCACCAAGAGAAAATAGATACTGAATGGTGTCCAATGCCCCTGAAGTGGCAGCAAGTAACAATGGTGTGCACTGATTCCTGAAAATCAAGGATCACAGGGTTGCTCTTGAAAACATTTACAGAACTCAATTCATTTTTGTTACAATTATCCAAATTAGAAGAAGTGTAATTTGTGTCATTAGTTTATCTTCCTTACCTATTTTTTTAGATTCCACTTGTAAATAAATTTGCCTTCTTTGCCATCCATAATGTTTTCCCCCACCTCAGAATAGTGATCTTATCTTATAAAATATTAACAAATTTATGATGTGCACAATTCTTAAAAGCACTATCTTCTCTAATCCTTACAACTTTGAGTGAAATATAAAAAACAAGGCAAGTATCACCAATCTATTTTGACAAAATAATGGAACTGAGGCTCAGGTAATATTTCAACTCAATTTTTTTTACATTTCAGGATCAGTTCACAAATCCCAACTTCTTCTTTGTGACATGAACAAACTATTTTCTTCAAAACACACTCTCTGCTTTTTATATAGCGGAGTTCTTTGGTTTGGGAATATGGTTCCCCAGTTAATATTACATCTTCTCACCACCACACCCTCTTATGGATATAGCTACAACCATATGCCTAAGCTTGGCCTCTGTGAAGTTAGCAGACGTTCACCAAAAATGCCCTACAGAGAAAAGGAGTATGCCATTGCTTTCCTTTCTTGCTATTAATGGCTAGACTAAAGGCATAGTTATGAAACAGGAGTCACCATTTTATAATGTTTTCTGGATCTTACATGCCAAGCAACAAGAGCAAGTTTGGACCTCTCACTTTGTCAAGCCATTATGCCAGCCCTGCACTTTACAGGAAGAATTACCTGTTAATTTTGTTTAAATGGCCACATTTTGGGGTGTCTTTATTGTCTCAGCAGCTTCAACTTTATTTTTAGTTGCCATTTTTGGTTTTTAATCTTCTCATTTTTCATTTTAATAAGACTGTTATCCTGTTGTCTCCACCCTTGAATCCCACCCACCCATGGTAGGAAGAATTTTTCTGTCTAACACTGTCACTCAGATTTTCCTCATTTGAAAAATATGCTCTTGAATAGACAATATTACCCTTTCCAAGTTCACATGGTCATTGCCTCCTCCTCATACTATCTCAATACATGAGCCTTTCTCATCCTACCTTCTCCTATTGTCAGTGACTTTGGCATCATGCTAATACCTATGTACTTGGATCTTTCTGGTTTTTTGTCATATCTTTATATGCACTCCATATTCACCAGCTATATGGTCACAATTCTGATCAGCTCCAGATAGATCTCAACTTCTGCTAATCCTTGGCTTATTCCTTAAATTCGCAGATATTTCACTTCTATTTCTGATATCCCCTTTTGTAATCAATTCTTTCTTTGAGTTTCCTCTTCTTAAAAACAGTCCAAATATAACAGAACTAATTGTTGAACCCAGGTCTTCACTTTCCATGGTGCTTTCCAGAACCTGTTAGAGAATCTGGGAGAGAGCCTGATTTCTTCAAAAGTTTCCTTAAACATCCCTACCTCACAATGGCCACTGAATAATAATGGATAGGTGGTGTAAAGATTTATAAATACCCAGATAATGCTAAGCCTTAGTAAAGTTTAGATCCAAAGTGATAATGTTCAGATAATTCTTTAGATAACTAGGCAAGAATGTTCCCTATGAAGAAATTCTATGTGCATCAGAATGTTTAGTACCCAGCTTGAATAAACCTGTATCTGAGTTTTCCCTATTTCAAAGTTATTTCCATCCTTTAGTGGGTTTCTATTTTAAATATGGAAGATACTTCTGTTATCTATTGTCTATATTTAGTCTGGAATTCATGAACAGCTTGCTGATTCTTTTTAATTTAGAGTAACTTTCATCTTCATTGAAGACTTTTCTCAAGACACTAATTAAGATGATAAACTATTATGTACAAGAATTGGGAAAAGGTTAGTAATAACTTCCTAGCTCTCATAACTCTTCTGGAAAGCACACATCTTCTGGAAAGAACTTCTCATCTCTATAAATTCTAAAAATAATTGGTGAAAGAGACCAAATCACCAGGTCACCAGACAGGATGACAGAGCAAGCCTGACATAGCCTTTCAAATCAATCACACCAATCATTCTTTTTTTTTTTTTTTTGCGTGTTGGGTCACACCTGGCTATGCACAGGAGTTACTCCTGACTCTGTACTCAGAAATTACTCCTAGCGGTGCTCAGGGGACCATATGAGATGCTGGGAATTGAACCCAGGTCGGCCGCGTGCAAGGCAAATGCCTTACCCGCTGTGCTATCACTCCAGGCCCTCATTCCTTTTAATGCAGGGTCTAATGCAGGGGCAAGTCAAGAAAGCAGAAATTCGACTTTTTACAGATATTAACTTACTCAGCAGTTGCCTCAGCTTCTATCAAGGTAGGGTCCTTCCTATAGAGCACGATGACGATGCAAATCTTGTCATAGAAGGCTGCAAAGTGAATTGGCAACCAGCCTTTTTTTTCAGAAAGTGTGTAATCAGCTCTGAAACTGAGGAGACAGAGGGCTGTTTCCAGTGAGCCTGCCTGAGCAGCCAGGTGTAGCGGTGTCAGACCTAGAATGAGTGGCTAGTCACTTCTATGGTCAGAGAAGAAACACTCCTTAAAAGCTATACCTTAGTGAATGCTAGACACACTGTTTGGAGTTTTGTGAGATATAACAGCTCCATAATAAACACTAAGAGCATTAATTTAGGTAATACTATTTTTTTAACCCATGATGTCTGGTCATTCAAAATCAATACATTTTATAAGTCTAAATGACATTGAAAAAACTATATTAAAAACATTAAGCCCAGGTGAAGGTCGGTGAGTTGGGGTCGCGCGGGGATGGATTCCTCCTCGTCTTCCAACGCGCGGGGGGGGGGGGGGGGGGAAGGGGGGCCCGGGGGGGGGGGGGGGTTGGGCTCCTTTGACCCGCAGCTGCAGCACTTCATTGAGGTGGAGACACAGAAGCAGTGCTTCCAGCAGCTGGTGCATCAGAAGACAGAACTTTGTTGGGAGAAATGCATGGACAAGTCTGGGCCAAAGTTGGACAGTTGGGCTGAGGCCTGTTTTGTGAACTGTGTTGAGTGCTTCATTGATACAAGCCAATTCATCTTGAATCAACTGGAACAGACCCAGAAATCCAAGCCAGTGTTCTCAGAAAGCCTTTCTGACTGATCTCAGCATTACCTCTTTGGAAAAGGAAGGTACTTCAAGAAATGAAGACCTATTGATGGGGTGGTTGAAGAAAGGTTATGAGGGGATTGACTACCACCTGTGTCACTCTTGGGGCGTCCTGTCATCATCTAAGAATGAACAAAGACCAATATTATGTGTGTTTGGCTGGGATCATATGTATTTTTGGTTGTATTTTTTAAATGCCAATCATGTGAAGACAATTGACAGGTAAATGGAAAATTACTAGATACTTATTACTGTAATAAGGGGCTATGCTTTCCTCAAAGTCCCATTAAGTGCTTCCTATAATTTTAATAGTGGAACTGCTTTCTTTGATTTGATAGTGGGACCACATAGGTAAAATCCATCATGTGTATGGATTTGTTTCTGATTTCTGGGGAGATTGATAGACATCTTTTGTTTCTCAAAAAAAAATGGCAATGGGAAAAAGAGTAATTTGGTAACTAACTCTTAGACCTCCTTTTCCAGTATTTTAACTATGAGTGCTGGAAAACCATCTGTAATGTTCATATAGTATACTTTACCTTCCTAGTTTATCTCCCTTATACTGTGAGTTAATTATATCTATGAAATATGATATTAAGATAATATACACAGCCTGAGAATCTAAAGGCCTTTAGTGATAAAGGACCCTCACCAGTGAACATAAATATTATTACTAAATTGCCACAGGAAAAAGTAACTTATAACCCTGTATATCTCAGGGTCTTAACCATTTAAAGATGTGCCTAAGTTACAAAGATTAAGCCAGTTGAAAAACTGTCATTTCAGGTAGAAGTGCATGCCTAATGCATAGATTGCATTTACTGCATTCTTTGATCATGGAAAATAAAAGCTTCTTTTAGTTTCATGTTTGTGATTAAAAAGAAAAAACATTAAGCCCAATATATAACACATAACAGTGTTGTGATAACCCAAGATATTTCTTGTTTATTTTCTATTTTATGCAAATGTTTTATAGTAGAGATAAGAACCTTTGAAATGGGAAAAACAAATGCTCACCAAGGGCCTAGGGGGGCTGGCTCAGGGAGAAAAATGCCTGCCTTTTTTGTATGGGGGTCCCAGTTTGATCCTCCTACATTTCCAGATCCCCACTGCTCTGTTGTTTGGGAGCCCCAGGTGGGCACTGTAACTAACGATGTGCAAGTACCACAGCCAGGAGTATGACCCCTTTCCAGCCTGTGTGTGAGACCACAGCCAAATGTCTGTGACCTGGGCAAGCATGTGTGCAAATCTGGTCAAAGACTGCCAGTAGAAGCCCCTCAAATAAAAATATAGGGATGTGGGGTCCAAGAGATAGTGGAAAAGGTAAGGCTTTGTATGTGGCTGTGGGCCACAGCCCTGGTTCAAATTACTACATCTGGTCTCCTGAGCACAGAGCCAGGAAGAAGTCTTGAGCACCACTCCAATAATTAAAATAAAATGAAATTACATCTTAGTCTCCAATTTCTGGTGCAGTATGAAAAGAGATTTAAAATTACCACTCGTGGAGGCTAGAGCAATAGCACAGCAGCTAGGGAGTTTAACTTGCACACGGGCCAACCAGGTTTAATTCCCAGCGTCCCATAAGGCCATATGGTCCCCCGAGCACCGACAGGAGTAATTCCTGAGTGCAGAGCCAGGAGTAACCCCTGTGCATTGCCGGGTGTGACCCAAAAAAGAAAAAAATTATGACTCAGGAAAAGAATTTTAAAATCAACAAGTCTTCATAGATCCACGAGAGAAGTGAGTTTATTGTACAAAACACACTGCCTGGTCCTGCCCAAACGTGGAGATAGGCAAGCAGATCTAGAAAATTACAGCTTACCAGAGCATAAACCCAGGGGCACCAAGGCAGGAGTAGGAAAAAAATCTTAATTGTAACTGGCAAAATGCTATGTGGACCAGTCTGAGTTTCAGTTGCTCAGTTATACAAGGAGGACCCAGTTATACAGGGGAGGGAAGGAGAGGACAAGGAGGGAAGGGAGAGAGTAAAGGAGGAGGAGAGAGGGAGAGGGGAAGAGGAGAGAGAGAGAGAGAGAGAGAGAGAGAGCACTCGCACATTTCAAAAAGCAACCTGTTTCTTCCAGCAGGCTGAGTTCACCAAAGCATTGTTTTGTAATATACTGCCGGCCTGTAGATTTACCACAGAGTAACCTGTGGGGTTATTAGAGTCTCACCTAACTGGGGCAGGGAAAGAGTCTGCTCTGAGGCTGCATAGCCCAGGAGCATTGGCTGAGACCAAATCATTCAATTTTTGGAGCATATTTTATCTCAATCTAAGAAGAACAATGGGAGCATGAAAAACATGAAAATGACTTGGGTTTTAAAAACTGTCTCAGCCACCCCATGAGCCCCTAGCTCTGCTCTCCACAATCCTTCAAAAACCATTTTGGCATAATCTAGGAGTAGAAATAACTATGCCTTTACTCTCCCCCATTTGTGTATTTTTAAAAAACTGTTTTAAAGTACACTTGACTAGAACTGTAGAATCTTGACCCCTGCCCTGGTGCTCTGAACAGAATGTGCATTTCATAAAAACTCAGTGTGACTCCTCTGTTCTTGAACATTCATCCCATAGTAGTGAGATACAGTGCTCTTTCCCACCTCTCCTGCACCCAATACCAGCTCTGGTCAATGACATATTTTGTTGTGACACCTGGGGGCTGCTGCCTGCTGACGGCTGGCAATATACCTAGTAAGGACAACTAGGTACATTTAGAATGAATGAACATCCTACAATGAACAAGACAATCCTCTACTGAAAAGAACTATCCATGAAGTACACAAAGCCAGCAATGGCAGGGTGAGAATCACTGTCTTCGGCTAAATTAGAGACAGTTTGAAGGAGTTTGTAATGGCTGAAGGAACTCTTCTCTGGTGGAGAACCCTCCCTGCCCGTCCCTTTCCTCTATGAATACCAGCAGCACCTCCTGTACATTTATTAAGCTTGTGACTTTCAGCTGCTATCCAGGAACTCACTGCAGTTACTTTGCCAGGAACTTCCTAATGGCAGGGTTTTCTATTGAGAACGAGGATGCCAGGGCAAACCAAACTAAATCCTTGACCTTTGTGGAGATTATATTAAGTGAAGAATAATAAACAAACAACACCAACAAAAGGACATCATGCAATGTTGTCAGAATGATACAAAGAAATGAAAAGGAAAGAAGGTAGAGACAGAGCAATAGAATGAGAAATACGCAGTCACACAGCTGCAAGTGTGAGGTTCTTTCTTTCCCTTTTCTCCCCTCTCCTTTCCCCTTTTGCTCCAACTTTTGTGGTACTGGGGATGATCCCCAGTGACTCACACAGAAAAATTTGCTCTAGCAATAAACTATCCCAAGTTGCAGGCCTGCCCTCTGCCCCAAGGGATCCCAACCACTTCTGTGCTTTGACTTCTTGTTTCTCTCTCTCTCTCTCTCTGTGTGTGTGTGTGTGTGTGTGTGTGTGTGTGTGTGTGTGTGTGTGTGTGTTGAGGGGTGGGGATGCTAGAAGACTTGGAATTAAGGAGGTGAAGTCCTGGTAATGAGCTGTGAACTATGTACCTCTCCCAATGGAAGGTGGCACCCCTTAAGTAAACATTGCCCTTCCCTTACAAAACTTGGGGCCTTTGTAAATAGGGTTTTTTTTGGGGGAAGGAGTGTTATTTTTAACAAATACTTCTTAAATTGTAGGGGTTAGAGGTAGGCTTTCTTAGATAAACTTAGAGAAAGTAAAGCCTCTTAACATGTATTTTTGCTTATTCAACGATTGGGTCAAGCCCCTTTCCTCAGTAAAGAATGATTTATTATTTAGTTTTCATGTATTGTGCTATCACTCAATGATAGCATATCTAAATTATGTCAGGGACTTTAGATTTATTCATCTATTTTTGGTTTGGGGGGCCATATTTGCTGGTGCTCAGGAATCATTCAATGTCAAGATGAACCTGGCATCCCTCATGCAAAGAACACACTCAGCCCTTTGAACTGATTTCTCCAACCTATCAAGTGTCTTTTTAAGACATAAAACCCATGTTTGAGCCTACTTTTAGAAAAATAAGTTGACAATAAGCTGCAGAGATGCCTCCAGATCCCAAAGTCACCGTCCAGTTGAAAGGTTAACTCCAGCACTATCATTCTATTTAAAATTTTAGAATTCTTGGGGCGCCTTTGTGGCTGCACGACATCTCATACTTTATGCCACTAATGTACTAAGAACAGCAAGCCATATTTGATGGCATATAAAAATGAAGGCAACCAACCTTTATATCACTGTCATCTTGTTGATCGCCAAATTACTTGAGCGGGTGCCAGTAACTTCTCTATTCCTCCCAGCCCTGAGATTTTAGCAGCCTCTTCTTACTCATCTTTTCCCAATGATTGGAGGCTCTTTCAGGGTCAGGGAATGAGACCTGTTGTCCTTACTGTATTTAGCATATCAAATACGCTTGCCAGGCTCTGCCCGTGTGGGCGAGATACTCTCGGTAGCTTGCCGGGCTCTCTGAGAGGCATATATTTCTATATTTTTCTCTATGATTTGTTGCTTACTGTCTGAACCTCATCAGATATGGTGTAGTAATCATGGAAAATGGGTAGGAAGTGTCTTATAATGGGTCTCCGCATTGGGAGATGCAGGGTCGAGTGCATCGCCGGTGAGGCATCCCACCTGGCACACTACAACAAGCCCTCAAACATCAAGTCATGGAAGATCCAAACAGCCATGCGCCTGCTTCTGCCCAGGGAGCTGGCCAAGCAAGCCGTGTCTGAACCTTCATATATATATAATATAATATATTGTATACAATATATAATATAATATTGTATATGAATATATAATATAATATCATATTGTCCACTGTCACATTGTCCTCCCATTGTTCATCGATTTGCTCGAGCAGGCCCAGTAATGTCTCCACTGTGAGACTTCTTGTTACTGTGTTTGTTATATTGAATACTCTTGGTAGCTTGCCAGGCTCTCCGAGAGGGGCGGAGGAATTGAACTCGGCTCGGCCAGGCTGGCTGTGTGCAAGGCAGACGCCCTACCGCTGTGCTATCACTCCAGCCCATAATATAATATAAAAAGGTAAAGGCCCTCCCGTTGATCGTCGATTTGCTCGAGCGGGCCCAGTAACGTCTCCATTGGAGACTTTTTGTTGTTACTGTGTCTGGCATATCGAATACTCTCTGTAGCTTGCCAGGCTCTCCGAGAGGGGTGGAGGAATCGAACTCGGGTCGGCCATGTTGGCCGCTTGTAAGGCGAACGCCCTACCTGCTGTGCTATCGCTCCAGCCCAGTGCCAGACACAGTAACAACAAAGTCTCCAATGGAGACGTTACTGGGCCCGCTCGGGCAAATATAATATATCATATATAAATATATATAATATATATATTAGGACACAAGGCTCAACCTGTAATAACATGTTAGTAATCTCTTACACAAGGACTTAATGGCTCTAAGTTGAGATACAACAATTTTCACACACTTTCCTCTAAGAAAAATTTTTTGAATAGTTTTTAGCAGATTATTCATAACAAGCAATACAAAATAATTTAAGATCTGACTTTGGGGCAGGCATGGGTGGTGGTGGGAAACTTTGAAATGAAGATTGTGGGAAGGTGTAATGGTGGTGGGATTGGTGTTGGAATATTTAATATAATTGTGAACAACTTTATAAAAATAAAATTAAAAAAAATTCAATTGTCATCAGTCACACAGCAGGAAAAAAAGTGAGAGGTTGGAAGGGGGAATGCTCAGACCTCAGATTTAAGAATATGACTAAACTATGGGAAGAAAAATGTATACTTCAAAATTTACACAAAACATTATCTGTTGATATCCTCATGTAAGGGAACATATTGGAGATGCTAAGAAGTTTGTATATATGTGAATATATGCAATGAGCTTATTCAAAACATCAAATTGGAGGGGGTTGAGGTGAGGGAACACTACTGGAACACGAATGTGTGTAGTCTATATCATCAGTAGTACTATAAATCAGAATATCTACAATTAAAAAATTCAAAAACAAAACAAAAAGATAAAATAATTTGCTTATGTCTTACCAGTTCTTTCTTTTTTTATGTCCATCTTGGATGAATCTGTTTTAAAAGAGAATATATACAGAAATATGATTCTAATAAATAGTGGTTTCCTAAATTAGTCCAAATAAAATCACCTGAATAAGAATAATGATTAGATACAGTTTGCAGAATTATATCAAACAAGACTGAGTGACAGTGGTCAAGCCACAAGGACACAGTGCTTGCATCTGACAGGCTATCAGATCAGATCAGGAAATGTGGCCTTTCAGGAAACTGGTCACGTGACTGGTAAAACTTTCAGTGAGGACAGTTTTATAATAGCCAAGTAATAAAAAATAGACATTTCCAGCCAGCACAGTCGTGCAATTACTGCTTCAAAGTTTGCCTGATCTTCAGCAGCCAGAAATCTTAGTCACAGGATTAGTGAGAGATTTTAACGTACAAATATTTTTTATACAAAAAGATGATAACACTTCTTAAGTAACAGGGTATCCAGTACCTTTATTTATTTTTTATTTTTTTTAATGTAGGAGTTTTGCTATTTATTCCGCCACTTATTAGGCTGATTAAATTTGGCATGAACTCCACCTTACTTTTTCTTTACATTTTTTATAATTTTATTTCTTGAATCACCATGAGAGCAGTTGCAAAGCTTTCGGGTTTAAGTCTTGATCATTCAATGAAACACCCGTACCTTCACCAGTGCCCATTCTCCACCACCAAAAACCCCAGTATACCACCATCCCACACCCTCCCCCTACCTGTGGGGCAGATGATTTCCACATTAGTCTCTCTCTACTTTGATTGCATTCAATATTTTGACACCAGACCCACCATTATTATTTGGGATTTTACCCCAACACTCAGATCTGCTGAAAAGGCAAAACTAGCCAATTTGTTTTCAATTGCTGGTTATGAATAACATATGGTGTCGTGTGGCAGCAATAGTGGCCATGTGATTTTGGAATTCCAAAGTTTTAACAATTAAATCTGGAGGAATTTCTGCCCAAGCCTGCTGGGTTCCGAGATTTGTTCCTGAGTCTCTGGGATCATGGCCGTTAAGCAGCTTGATCAGGAGCCAGAGAGGCCGTTGGTGAGCGGCAACTCAGGATCTCGTTGGGACGGGGAGCAAAGGGCAGGCTCCACCCCCATCCCGTGAGGCCCCGCGTGTCTCATCACTGAGGGCCCAAACCTGACTGTCCAATGGCCTCTGGAGGACAGTGGCCACTGAACTGACAAGGAGGAGCAGGAGGAGGGACAGCACCCTTTCCCTGTTGGGGTGGCCCAGCGATAGTAACCTGTTGCGCCGTCTGGAAACATTTCTGCCAAAAGCCGCTGGCTTCTGATATTTGTTTCTGCGTCTCTGGGATCTTGGCTGTTAAGCAGCTTGATCAGGAGCCAGAGAGGTCGTTCGTGGGCGGCGACTCGGGGTCTGATTGGGATGGGGAGGAAAGGGCCAGCTCCACCCCCATCCCATGAGGTCCCATGTGTCTCATCACTGTGGGCCCAAACCTGACTGTCCAGTGGCCTCTGGAGGATGGCGACCGTTGGGCCGCTAGGGGGAACAGGCCAAGGCACAAAACCTATTCCCACCTCCAGTACATTTAAATTGAACTGAACTGGTGGACTGTTTAAATTAGGTTCATCTATCAAATATTTTCTATTGAAATTTTTAATTGAGAAAGAAAAATATCTTAATATTAAAACATTTTAATCATGTTGATAGGATTTATTAGTAGCCAGCTAGATTAAAACAAAGCAGTTTACTTTGATGTGTACAAATTTAACATAGCATATTAAGATAGTTTACCAAGTTAAAATAGAAAATTACCACTTTTTTTCTTTATTTTGCGTCACACCTGGCGATGCACAGGAGTTATTCCTGGCTCATGCACTCAGGAATTACTCCTGGCGGTGCTCGGGGGACCATATGGGATGCTGGGAATCGAACCCAGGTTGACCGCGTGCAAGGCAAATGCCCTACCCGCTTTGCTATTGCTCCAGTCCAGTTTAAACAAGGTTATCAATAAAGGAATTATAAATCCTAAAAATCATTAGGGGATTTTTTGAATTAAATATAATTTCAGTTTATATTACAAACTTAACAGAAGACAATTATTGCTAGTTGAGAGCCCTGGAATAAGAAATGGGTATTCTTCTGGAACTTCTCTTTATCTTAGCTTGTCTGATTTCTATAGTACATCATCATGTATTAATTATGCCAGCAATTGTCAAATGTTACCCTCATTCATCCATATAAATATTCAACAACTATTTCCCATGTACCCACTAATTCCAGGTTTTCTTCTGAGAATTTTATCATGGCAAAATCTAATTCTTGCTTTTATGAAACTTATATACAAGTGAGAGAGATTCAATAAGTAAAAAATAAATAATACTATGTAAGGAAGCAATTATGATACTTGAAAAAAAAATCTAGAAGAAGGGGCCAGAGTGACATTACAGCAGGTAGGATGGTTGCCTTACGTACGGTTGACTCAGATTCAATCCCTGGAATCACATTTGGTCCCCACCATGAGTGATCCCTAAGCATAGAGGCCGAAGGATGACTTAGGAGGAAAGGAGGGAAGGGAGCGAGGGAGGAAGGGATGAAGGGCAGGCAGGCAGGCAGGCAGGAAGGAAGGAGGAAGGAAGGAAGGAAGGAAGGAAGGAAGGAAGGAAGGAGGGAGGGAGGGAGGGAGGGAGGGAGGGAGGGAGGGAGGGAGGGAGGAAAGGAAGGAAGGAAGGAGGGAAGGAAGGAAGGAAAGAAGGAAGGAAGGGAGGGAGAGAGGAAGGAAGGGAGACAGGGAGGGAGGGAGAGGGAGGGAGGGAGGGAGGGGAGTTTCTGGAACAAATAATACAAACATGTCAAGGTTGCTCTAGAGCAAACTATCCTTGCTGTAAGGTCCATATGCATTCTTTTATTTTTTTTAATCATGAATGTTATGGAAACCAGCAGATAATCCTTTTTGTTTTTGTTTTCTTCCTGGACTTGAAAAATCAAACCCAGGACTTCAAACATGCAAATGCTTTACTGCTGAGCTACATCCTGGCCCTCAACATGCATTCTTAATGCTGTTACTAAAAGAAAAAGATTTAAAAGTCTGAAAATGTACACACCTTGGGTAGACATATTAAAGCATCTCTGGTTAATGTTGAAGTTGGAATTGCACAGCTGACTTACAATAGTAACCCTGTTGTGTAGCGCAGCATGATGGAAGAGAGTATGACCTGTCTCATCTGAAATATTGATAGTTGAACTTGAGGTTTTACGGCTAAGTGTATGGAAAACAGCAGATAATCCTCTTTCAACAGCGGACTTCATACCAAACGGTATATTCTAAAATTATAATAGACCAGAATTTATTTCTTCCCCCAAAATACAGTAATTCTACCTTATCGATGGGGTTTACCTTTTTAAGACCTACAATAGATGCCTGAAACTGAATTGTACTGAATCTATAGCACTGTCTTCCTGTTGTTCATCAATTCACTCGAGCAGGCACCAGTAACGTCTCCATTGTGAGACTTGTTGTTACTGTTTTTGGCATACCAAATATGTCACGGGTAGCTTGCCAGACTCTGATATGTGGGTGGGAGACTCTTGGTAGCTTGCCGGGCTCTCCTAGAGGGATGGAGGAATTGAACCTTGGTTGGCCGTGTGCAAGGCAAATGCCCTACCTGCTGTGCTATGGCTCCAGCCCTGACTCTATAATAAGAAGTATTTTTATATATGCATATAAACATATATACTTATGTTAAAACTAGACAGTAAGAGACGCATAACAACAACTAAAGCACATTAACAATTTTAACAATATGCTGCAGCAAAAGTTCTATGAGTTTAGTCTCTCTAAAAATATCTTATATTAGGTAATATTTTAGGTAATATTTATATTACTTAAATTACATTAGGTAATATTTTCAGACTGCAGTAACTAAAACCTTGGAAAGTGAATCTGTGAATATGGGAGATAGTCTTGTGTGTGTTTTACATGGAGAAAAGTATGATTTGCATGGGGAAAGAACAGTGAAATGCATTCATACAACCATACAATTGGTGCTTAATTACAATAACATTTTCACAAGGTTCATGAAAAAACTCACTTGGGCAACAAAGAAAGTTTTTAAAGCTAGAAGAAAATATTGAGTTCTGAGCCTGTTCTAACCAAATCATAATGATGATTTTTTTGCAAGGGGTGCTTGAGGTGGGAATAGGCAGGATTGAAACCAATTTTTCCTGTATTTTATATTGTATATTTTCTTCAACATATAACCAATCAGTATCTTGTCATTATAATCAACTGGTTGATCTCCCCATCCAAAAGAAAAAAATCGAGAATCTTAAAAATCATTTATGGGTCTGCGTGGGACGGGCCCGGAGGCCCAGCTCTGGGCAACCAAGCGAACGGCTCCTATTCCAACCAGGTACAGCCCGCCCCCAAAGGCCTGGGACCTTCTGTGCGCATGCCCAGCTAGCTCCACCTCCTAGAAAGCCGGTTTTCCCCCTGGTCTGCGTGGGACGGGCCCGGAGGCCCAGCTCTGGGCAACCAAGCGAACGGCTCCTATTCCAACCAGGTACAGCCCGCCCCCAAAGGCCTGGGACCTTCTGTGCGCATGCCCAGCTAGCTGCATCGACGTTCCCAACTCCTCGCCCAGTGCCAGGGACTCTTTCCGGAGCCGCGGCCGCTAACGCGGCCGCGAAATATTTTCCCACTTCATATGCCATAGGAACCATAAGCTACCTTCTTAGATGGAAACTTCTCTAGTTTAACTCAGTCACTAGAAACACAGTAGCCAATAACTCATAAGCCTATCTTAACTCACACTGCATATCAAGCAGAATAGTAACAGTGAATGTTAAGGACTAAACCACAGCTTTCACAATGGTAAAGCAACGCAAAAGCCCACCAAACTTTCTTATTGAAGAGTCTAGCCCAGATGACACCAACAGTACTGCAGTTTTAGACAACCTCTCTGACAAGGAATTCAGGAGGGAGCTACTTAGGATGCTTAGGGAACTAAAAGAAACAATGGAAAGCAATGCCAATAGAAGACAAGAGGATTTGAAGGCAGAAATGAGGAAAATGCAATCAGAAATGTCAGACCTGAAAAATCTCGTAGGAGAATTGAAAAACTCAGTGGAAGGCCTCAGCAGCAGAGTAACAGCTGCTGAGAACAGAATCAGTGAGCTCGAAGATGAAGTTCAGAGACTCTCCAGAAAAGAGCAAAAATTGGAAAAGAGACTCACAATTCCGGAACAGATGGCAAGAGAAGATCGTGATGAGGCCAAGAGGGATAACATAAGAATTATTGGAGTCCCAGAGGTACAGGAAGAAAACCTTGATGAAGAAGAAACTGTCAAAGACATCATTGCTACAACGTTTCCAGAGCTGAAGAAAACTTGTGACCATATTCAGGAGGCCCGAAGGGTACCAGCTAGAAGAAATCCGAATAAAAATACCCCAAGACACATTCTGATCAAAATGACCAAAACCTTAGACAGAGACAAAATTCTGAAAGCAGCAAGATCGAAGAAAGAAATCTCTTACAAAGGAGCATCCTTAAAATTCACAGCTGATTTTTCTGATGAAACCCTTATGGCCCGAAAACAGTGGTGGGACATAGTGAAAAAACTCAATGAAATAAATGCCTCCCCAAAAATACTTTACCCAGCGAGACTCTCATTCATAATAGAAGGAACAACACACAGTTTCACAGACAAACAACAGCTCAGGAACTTCATAGACTCAAAACCGTGGTTACAAGAACAACTAAATGGGCTACTTTAAGGCAAGACAGACCTCTCAAATACACCAAATTTCAACAGAACAATGGGACAAAATCCCATAACAATAATCTCTCTCAATGTCAATGGGCTAAACGCACCAATTAAAAGACATAGAGTGGCAGGATGGATTAGAAAATTGAACCCAACATTCTGCTGCCTGCAAGAAACACATCTCAATAGTCAAAGCAAACACAGACTCAGAGTCAAAGGCTGGAAAACAATCCTACAGGCAAACAGCTCCCATAAAAAAGCTGGGGTAGCCATCCTAATATCAGACCACATCGATTTCAGAGTCAGGAAGGTCATAAGAGACAGTGAAGGTCATTTCTTATTGATCAAAGGATCTGTACAACAGGAAGAACTTATAATAATAAATGTATATGCACCTAATGAGAGACCAGCAAAGTACTTAAAACAACTACTCATAGATTTGGAAAAAGACATCAACAGCAACACAATACTAGTGGGAGACTTCAACACTGCTTTGTCACCTCTTGATAGATCAACCAGACTCAAGCTTAGCAAGGACATACTTCATCTGAGGGAAACAATGGAAGAAAGGGACTTAGTAGATATATACAGGACACTTCATCCACAAAAAGCTGAATACACATTCTTCTCAAGCGTACATGGAACATTCTCCAAGATAGACCACATGCTGGGCCACAAAACATGCCTCCAAAAAATTAAGAAGATAGAGATTGTATCGACAATCTTCTCAGACCATAATGCGCTGAAATTAGAAGTAAATCACATACAAAAACAGAAAACTAAATCAAACACCTGGAAATTAAACAGTGCTCTACTGAAAACGAGTGGCTTAGACAGGAAATCAAAGAGGAAATCAAAAGATTCCTAGAAACAAATGAAAATGAGGACACGAGTTACCAAAACTTATGGGACACAGCAAAAGCTGTGTTAAGAGGAAAGTTTATAGCTCTACAAGCATTCCTCAGGAAGGAGGAGAGAGCACACATAAGTAACCTAACCTCACAGCTTAAGAGCTTGGAGAAGGACCAAAAAAAGGAGCACAACCCGAACAGGAGAAAGGAAATAATAAAACTCAGAGCAGAGATTAACGAGATGGAAACCCAAAAAACAATCCGAAAGATCAATGAAACCAAGAGCTGGTTCTTCGAGAAAATTAACAAGATTGATAAGCCTCTAGCAAAACTCACAAAGAAAGGGAAAGAGAAAACCCTAATAAACCGAATCAGAAATGAAAAGGGGATCATCACAACAGAAACTACAGAAATTCAAAGGATCCTCAGGGAGTACTTTGAGAAACTGTATGCCACGGAACATCAAAACCTCGAGGAAATGGATAAATTCCTAGACTCCGACAGACTCCCAAGGCTGAACCAAGAAGACCTGGAATACCTGAACAGACCTATCACCATCAAGGAAATTGAAATGGTAATAAAAAGTCTCCCCAAGCACAAAAGTCCTGGTCCGGATGGATTCACTAGTGAATTCTTCCAAATATTTAAAGAGGACTTACTCCCAATCCTCTTTAAGCTTTTCCACGAAATTGAAATATCAAAAACACTTCCAAACAGTTTCTACGAAGCAAATATCACACTGATACCAAAAGCAGACAGAGATACCACAAAGAAAGAGAATTACAGACCGATATCCCTGATGAACACAGATGCAAAGATCCTCAACAAACTACTAGCAAATAGAATCCAACTACTCATCAAAAAGATCATACACCATGACCAAGTAGGATTCATCCCAGGGATGCAAGGATGGTTCAACATTCGGAAATCAATCAACATAATCCATAATATCAACAAAAGAAAAGATAAAAAGCATATGATTATATCAATAGATGCAGAGAAAGCATTTGACAAGATCCAGCATCCCTTTATGATGAAAACCCTAGCCAAAATGGGTATAGAGGGGACCTTCCTCAACATAATTAAAGCCATCTACCACAAGCCTACAGCAAGCATCATCCTCAATGGGGAAAAACTGAGAGCCTTCCCCCTAAGGTCAGGGACGAGACAAGGATGCCCACTCTCTCCACTGCTGTTCAATATAGTACTGGAAGTACTTGCAATAGCGATTAGGCAAGAAAAAGATATTAAGGACATTCTGGTAGGAAAGGAAGAAATCAAGCTCTCACTATTCGCAGATGATATGATACTATACTTAGAGAACCCAATAACCTCCACCAAAAAACTCCTAGAAACAATAGACTCATATAGTAAAGTTGCAGGCTATAAAATCAATACCCAAAAGTCCATGGCATTCCTATATGCAAACAGTGAGAGAGAAGAAAGCAACATGAAAAAAACAATCCCATTCACAATTGTGCCCCAGAAAATCAAGTACCTAGGAATCAGCTTAACTAAGGAAGTAAAGGACCTGTACAAAGAAAACTACAAAACGCTACTTCAGGAAATAAAAGAGGACATGAGGAAATGGAAAGATATCCCCTGCTCATGGGTCGGGAGACTTAACATTGTCAAAATGGCAATACTACCGAAAGCATTGTATAAATTCAATGCAATCCCTATAAGGATACCCACGACATTCTTCAAAGAAATGGAGCAAACACTCCTGAAATTTATATGGAACAATAAGCCCCCACGAATAGCTAAAGCAATTCTTGGGAAAAAGAAAATGGGAGGAATCAACCTCCCGAAGTTCAAACTGTACTACAAAGCAGTAATAATTAAAACAGCATGGTACTGGAACAAAGGCAGAACTGCAGACCAATGGAACAGGGTTGAATACACTGACATCTCCCCTCAATCATATGATCATCTAATCTTTGATAAAGGTGCAAGTAATGTGAAGTGGAGTAAGGAAAGCCTCTTTAACAAATTGTGCTGGCATCACTGGACGGCTACATGCAAAAAAATGGGCTCAGAACTCTGCCTAACACCGTGTACAAAAGTAAGATCAAAATGGATTAAAGACCTCAACATCAGACCAGAAACCATAAGGTACATTGAAGACAAAGTTGGCAAAACCCTCCATGACATTGAAGCTAATGGTATCTTCAAAGATGCCACGCCACTGGCCGAGCAAGTGAAAACAGAGATAGATAAATGGGACTATCTTAAACTAAGAAGCTTCTGCACCTCCAAAGAAACAGTGACCAAAATACAAAGACAGTCTACAGAATGGGAAAGGATATTCGCCGAATATACATCTGACAAGGGGCTGATATCCAGGATATACAAAATACTGGTTAAACTCCACAAGAAGAAAACATCCAACCCCATCCAAAAATGGGGCAATGAAATGAACAGAAACTTTCTCAAAGAAGAAATCCGAATGGCAAAAAAGCACATGAGAAAATGCTCTACATCATTAATCATCAGGGAGATGCAGATCAAAACCACAATGCGATACCATCTCACACCTCAGAGACTGGCCCACATTCAAAAGAACAAAAGCAACCGATGCTGGCGTGGATGTGGCGAGAAAGGGACACTCCTTCACTGTTGGTGGGAATGTCCACTGGTTCAGCCCTTCTGGAAAACAGTATGGACGATTCTCAAAAAATTAGAAATTGAGCTCCCATTTGACCCAGCAATACCACTCCTGGGAATATATCCCAGAGAGGCAAAAATGTATAGTCGAAGTGACATCTGCACTTGTTTGTTCATTGCAGCACTCTTTACAATAGCCAGAAACTGGAAGAAATCTGAGTGCCCAAGAACAGATGACTGGTTAAAGAAACTTTGGTACATCTACACAATGGAGTATTATGTAGCTCTTAGAAAAGATGAAGTCATGAAATTTACATACAAGTGGTACAACATGGAAAGTATCATGCTGAGCGAAATGAGTCAGAAAGAGAGGGATAGACATAGAAAGATTGCATTCATCTGGGGGATATAAAGTAACAAAATAGGAGATTAATACCCAAGAATAGCTGAGATCAGCACCAGGAGGATTACTCCGTAGCTTAGTGGACAATTGGGCATTCTAGAGGAAAGGGCAGCTCAGATAGAGAAGGGAACACCAAATAAAGGGTGTTTGGTGGTCCCTCCCAGGAGGGAGGGGAGATGCATGTCGAAAGTGGACTATGGACTGAACATGTTTGCCATTCAATGCCTCTTTTGCAGACCACAACACCCAAAAGGAGAGAGAGAGAACACAGGGGATTGCCCTGCCACAGAGGCAGGGGGGGATGGGGGGATGGGGGTGGGGGGGACATTATCCATGGTGGTGGAGGATGGGCACTGGTGGAGGGATGGGTGTCTGATCGTTGTATAATTGAAACCTAAGCACAGGGATTGTAAATCTACAACTGTACCTCATGGTGTTTCACTAATAAAAAAATAATCATTTATTAAGACTTCGTTCTTCCCTCTTTAAGGGAAGAATTGTAGATCCATCTTTGATGAGTTTAAGGAGGATTTTTTAAAATTTTAGACACAGTGGGTTTCCAAAAATATTAATGTAAAGTTTCACCCATAAAACATTCCACCACACACTCCCCACCAGTGTCTGCTTCCCTCCAACACTGCGTCAGTACTCACCCCTGCCCCACCAATCACTGCCTTGTGGTAAGCTTCCCATAGAGACAACACAAATATTTCTTTAAATTACTTTATTGGCAACTGTAGATCATCCAGTTCCTTCTCTGATTTTAAAAAGTCTCATGTAGCCATTTAGAAATGTGAATATATAGGCTAGAGAAACATAGTTTGCCAGGGCTAGAGAGGTAATACAGGAACTAAGGTGCTTGTTTTGCATCTAGCTGACCCTGATTGTATCCCTGCCACTATATATGGTTCCTTGAGCACTCTCAAGGATCACTCCTGAACACAGAACCAGAAATATTCCCTAAGCACTGCAAGGTGTAGTCCTCTAAACAAACGAACAAACAAACAAATAAATAAAAATACAGAGTCAGAAAGAGCGGGATAGACACAGAAAGATTGCATTCATCTGGGGAACATAAAGCAACAAAAAGTGAGAGTGACACACAGGAATGGCTGAGATTAGTACCAGGAATTTTGCTCCATGAATGGAAGGCCAGCCACAGGCTCTAGGTGAAAAGGAAGCTCAGATAGAGAAGAGATTACCAAATGAAGGGTGTTGTGAGGGCCCTCCCAGGGTGGGAGAAGCATGCTAAAAGTAGTCGATAGACCAAACATGATTGCCACTCAAAGCCTCTCTTGCAAAACACAGTACCCAAAAGAAGAGAGAGAGAACAAGGGGGAATACCCTGCCACAGAGGCAGGATGGGACGGGGGGGGGGGATGAGGGGGGGGGATGCTGGGACCCATGGGGATAGATGACGGGCACTGGTGGAGGTATGGGGACTTGATCATTGTATAACTGAAACCCAAGCACAAAATTTGTAAGCCTATAACTGTACCTCATGGTTTTTCACTAATAAAAAAAAAAAAAAAGTGAAAAAAAAAAAAAAAAAAAAAACAAACAAATGAAATTTGCCAGGGATGCAAACCCCAGATTATTTTCTATAATATTTCAAGTATGATCCTGCCATAAAGGTAAAGGTAAAGGCCCTCCCGTTGATCGTCGATTTGCTCGAGCGGGACCAGTAACGTCTCCATTGGAGACTTTGTTGTTACTGTGTCTGGCATATCGAATACTCTCGGTAGCTTGCCGGGCTCTCCGAGAGGGGCGGAGGAGTCGAACTCGGGTCGGCCATGCTGGCTGCGTGCAAGGCAGACGCCCTACCCGCTGTGCTATCGCTCCAGCCCTGACACTGCCATAATCTTTGCTAAATACAAATATGCAGGTATATGCATATATGTATTTAACAAAAGTTGACTAATAAAACAAAAAGTCATATTCATGAATTTAAAGTTATGATTTTTTATTATTTGATATCAAAATAAATATTTCATAATATTTAAAATTAAAAAAAAAAAAATACAGGTTTTCTTCTCTGCTCTAGGAAATGGAGAGGTAAAAATGCCACTCTGCTTACGATGAGTGAAATGAGTCAAGAGAGGGATAGACACAAAATGATAGTAACCATTTGTGAGATTAAAAACAAACAAACAAAAAAAGCATAGCATGAGACTAATACCTGAGGACAGTAGGAACAAGGGCCAGGAGGACTAGTTCATGTCTGGAAACTTGCCACAAGTGGAGGGAGTGGGAGGACAGTTAAGATAGAGAAAGGATCACTAGGACAATGATAGTTGAAAATGAGAAATGAGCACTCTGAACAGGAACTGAGTGCTGAAAGTAAAGGGGTATGATAACCTTTCAATACCTGTATTGCGAAACATAATATGTGTGTATGTGTGTGTGTCTGTGTGTGTGTGTGTGTGTGAGAGAGAGAGAGAGAGAAAGAGTGCCTGTCATAGAGGCAGGTTGAGGGGTTGGGGCTGGGTGGCAAGGGAGAAACTCGGGACATTGATTGTGGGAAATATACACTGGTGAAGGGATGGATGTTGGAACATCATATGACTGAAATCTGATCATGAACAACCTTGTGGCTCTATTTCATGGTGATTCAATTAAAATTTTAAAAAGTCACTCTTCTTTTAGGCATCTAATATTTTAAAATTAAACAGGATATTAAAGTTTAAAATGATGGGAATTAAGCAAATTGTAAATTAAATATCAGTGTATCTTTTGAACTTGGTGAGTTTACCACCTATAATAGTTTCACAAACTGTAAGAGTATTGAGACAGATATAGAAATTTTAGTACTGGGTTTTGTTTTGGGATTTGATTTTGTTTTTGAGCATCCCTTATGGTGTTCAGGGGTTATTCCTGGCTCTGTGTTCAAGGTGACCCCTCACAGGCTCAGGGGACCATCTGTGGTTCCAGAAATTTGTTGAAAAATTTTATAATAGTACCTGGCATACATAATAAACACTCATTACATATTAGTCATTAACCATGATCAAGTTCATTAATATTTTTGGTACTCTGTCAGGAACTTATAATTTATCATTGTATTTGCTTGAGGCCGGACTGGAGCGATAGCACATCGGGTAGGGCGTTCGCCTTACACGCGGCCAACATGGCCAACCCAAGTTCGATTCCTCCGCCCCTCTCAGAGAGCCCGGCAAGCTACCGAGAGTATTCGATATGCCAGACACAGTAACAACAAAGTCTCCAATGGAGACGTTACTGGGCCCGCTCGAGCAAATCGACGATCAACGGGAGGGCCTTTATCATTGTATAAAATATAGAAATTATTTATGCTACTCCATGTTGGAGACTTTATTTGGCCTGTTTATCCCTGGAATAAACATTTGATTGAGATCTATATACATATCTGTAGCATCTTACACTAAATTATGTGACTATCATTGAAATACCTTGCATTTTATGGCTTTTTTGACACCAAATTTTTTCTTGAATTGTTCATGTACTTGAGCATCTGACAGCGGGAATCTTTTCAGTCTCAGACTATTCACAATTTCATTTATGGCTCCCCACCACTCTGTCTTATACATTTTCTGATAGAAAGTTTCCAGTTCAAAACAGATAACATAATAGCTATAAAAAAAAGAAAAGAAATTTTGATCTTAAAGTGAGTTGCTATTTTTTATTCTATGCTGGAAAAAAACATAATTTTTATTTAGTACTAAGAACACAGTTTGATTGCACTTGGGGTAAATATTCTAATAACATGGTTATCAATATTGTTTTCTATTTAGGATTCACACCCAGCAGTGCTCAAGGATCACTTGTGGTGGAGTTCTGAGACCATGTGTCTGATATTGGGAATCAAACTCATGTTGAACGCATGCAATGCAAGCTCCCTACCTACTGTACTATCACTCTGGCCCAGCATTACTATCAAAGCTCTAGAACAAGCCATCTTCTCTATATTGCCCCTTGTAATTGTCCTTCTCATGCAGCAGCCCAGGTGCTGCCTAAAATTCACAGAAATCCCAGAATCGTGGGGAAGGAAGTAGATTTATGCTCTAAATCTGTTCACTTTCACACATTTACCTGTGGACTCTTTTTCATACTTATGTCTTCATTTGCCTTCCGAAAAGTTGATCTTGAGTCAACTGGAATGATGCTTTGAGTAATAATCTCTTGACTTGTGCCTACTGTGGCCCTGGGCTAAAGAAACCTCAACCCACCACCAAATTCTTGAGCTATAAGCAGAGCATACAGTGCCCTGACCCCTTGTCACTTTGGGATGGAAAAGTAACTGTGTGTTGAGGAACTATTCCCTAGGAGAACTTTGTATTGCTGGAACAAAAAAACTGTGTCGCTTTCCACCTTTCTCCAAGTACTTGTTCCCACGCCCACTCTTGAGTGGTGAGTACCTTAGTGGCTGATGCTATATCAGTCTAAAGGGAATTCCTGGGGTTTGTTGTCATTGTTGTTGTAGTTGCTGTTGGCTTTTGGGCCACACTTGGCAGTGCTCAGAGATCACTCCTAGCAATGCTCAGGGGACTGTTTGTAGTGCTGGAGCTGAAATCCTGTTCTGACCCATGCCAGGAAGTTGCCTTATCTGCTGTACCTCTGGTGCCCAAGAGAATCCTTTCAGTGTTACAGGAATTTCTAAAATTTATGGCTGTACCCTAAAGAATTTTAGGGTACCTAAAATTTGCTGAGAAAATTTCCCCATGGTACAGATTTCTCCATGGTACAGTCTGTCACCACCATCACATGAAGTTTGGCTTCTGACATGCAGGGTGTCATCACACTGTAGTGCTCTCCCCGGATAGGACACTTCACTGTCCACCTCTATTCTGGTCATTGTTCTCCTAATTTCTCATGACTTATTCTACATTTACTAAGTGCTCAGTTCTGAGTCTTAGACTGCAGATTCCTCTAGCACCATCTTCCCCTCCTTTCTCCCTCTGGGTTACTGGTGGGAAGACCCAATCTGAGAGGGGGAAAAAAATCCCAGACTTAAATGTTTCTGTGCCTGGTTGGTTGATTGTGGAGTATGTCCATAGGAGCTAGGTCCATAACAACAGACCCTCCTCCAGTCCAGTAGGGAGGTCAGTAGCTATCTGGTCTTTGACTTCTGTGCCTGCATCCTGCCAGGCAGGATTCAGTGGTAAGATCCATCTTTCATCCTTTGTCAACTTCTTCCTCTGCACTGTTTCTCTTATTTTCCTCATCACTATGCATCTTAAAGTATTCTAATCTTGGGGCTGGAGCAAGTGGGAAGGGTGTTTGCCTTGCATGCAGCTGACCTGGGTTTAATCCCTAGGATTTTATATGGTCCTCCATGCACTACCAGGAGTAATTTTTGAGTGTAGAGCCAGGAGGAAACCCTGAGATCATTGGGTGTGGCCCCCAAATCAATAAATAATTTTGAAAATTCTAATCTTGCTTATAAACTCTCTCTCATTTTATCCTTTAACTTACTAAAATAATCATCTACAGCCACAACCAAAATTATCTTACCAAGTCAACAGCAAATGTAAAGCACTCTCCAATTTGGGGGGAGGATTGGGAAGGGTGGGTGATGGGAGGCACACCTGATGCTTAGGGTCTATGCTGATCTCTATTTGGGGGTTTGTTCCTTCTAGTATTAGTGCCAGAAATTGAACCTGAATCTCCTGCATGCAAAGCCATGCACCCCAGTCTTATGAGTTATCTTTCCAGCCATTCTATCTTAAACCAACTTGGTCTTTTCTGTGTTGAATTAGATAACTATTTCTATTTTCTTCTAATTTTTCCCATTTAGCTTCAATGCTATTTTACCCTCTAGGTCCTTCTCTACCTGTATACCTCTACTCCTCGGTCTTTGCTTTTCCTTAACTCCTTTTAAAGATGCTGTTACTGTCAGACTTTCAGTAACAGTGACAGTGACAGTTATTTATATTAATCAGTTAGTATCTTTAAGGCTTATTACACAAAATATATCAATGTTCACAAAGTCATAAACATTTTCATTTAAAAATTGGTGCTTTATGAGGGTTAAAATTATTCTAGAGCTTCTGTCCTAAAATTTTAAGTTGGCCTTTGCATTTTAATACTTCCCTGGTTTTCTACTTCTTAAAAATTTTTTTTTAATTTTTTTCAGTTTTTTTTTTATTGAATCACAGTGAGATACACAGTCACAAGGCTGATCATGATTTTCTTTCACAGTCCAGCAAGTTTAGACCCAAACACCTGAAGAATCTGCCGCCAGTACTCATCAATACACTGGCTCAACTCGTCACACGCTACCTGTCTGAATGCAAGGTTCCGTCCCAATAGAAAACCAGCAGGACAGTTCTGCTGTACAAGAAGGGAGATATTCACGACAATGTCTGTTGTCCATTATCTACAATCTGCCTGTTGTTCATTATCTACAAGCTGTTCACTTGAGTCATCCTGAATAGGATTGGCAGAACACTAAATGAAGGACAACCATGCGAGCAAGCTGGTTTCCGAAAAGGATTCAGCACAATCGACCATATCCACCTGATAACCAAGCTCATTGAGGTTTCTTGGGTTCTGAAAAGGATTCAGCACGATCAACCATATCCACCTGGTAACCAAGCTTTATTGAGGTTTTTCAGGAGTTCAAGATTCCGCTCAATCTAACGATCATTGATTTAAAGAAGGTCTTTGATTCTGTTGAGACTGAAGTGATCATCGAAGCCCTAGCCAAATAGGGCGTTCAAACTCAATACATCAAGATCCTCCACAAGCTGTATTACAGATTCACTACCAGGATCTCACCATTCTCAAGGAAGTGAACATTGATATAAAGAGAGGGCTCCAGCAGGGTGATATCATTTCACCGAAACTCTTCAGTGCCACCCTCAAGAACATCATGCAATGACAAGAATGGGAAGGAATGGGAGTGAAGATAGACGGTCGGCAACTACACCACCTCCGCTTCGCTGATGACAACATTCTAATAACACCAAACATTAGCCAAGCGGCACAAATGCTGGCTGACTTTAACCGTGTGGAAAGGTCGGACTGCAGCTGAATCTGACGAAAACAATGTTCATGAGAAATAGAATAGTTCCTGACGTTCCATTTGCTCTCAACGGAATGAACATCTTCGAATGCAGCAGTTATGTGTACCTAGGTCGAGAACTCAACATAACGTATGACTTGGCGCCAGAGCTGTGCAAGAGGAAGAGAGCAGCGTGGAACGTCTTCAAGAGCATCGAAGAAGTTGTTAAGAGGACGAAGAATCTCTGGTTCTAGGCACATCTTTTTGACTCCACCGTTATTCCTGCACTAACATACGCCTCAGAGACCTGGGCCCTACGAAAACAGGATGAGAATGCTATTTGGGTCTCCCAAAAAGGAATCGAAAGAGCTCTGCTTGGAGTATCACGCTTCACTCAAGTGAGAGAAGGAATCCAGAGTTCTGACCTCCATTGATGATTGAGGATCAGGGATGCTGTCTCGTTTGCCAAGGTGTCAAAAATCAGATGGGCTGGACACGTAATATGGTTTGGAGATGACCGCTGGAATAGAGCCATTACCAACTGGATTCCACGGAATGTCAAAAGAACTCCTGGCTGTCCACCTACGAGATGGTCGAACTTCTTCGTTAAGACCCTTAATGAACTGTTTGAGGCTCTTTGTGTTCCTGGAGCGATCAGAAATCATTGGGCTACAACAGCACACAACAGGGACGAATGGAGACGTTACTGGCACCCCGCTCAAACAAATCGATGAGCAATGGGATAACAAGTGATACAAGTGACAAGTGATATAATGTTCCAACACCCATTCCTTCACCAGTGTACATTTCCTACCACCAATACACCCAGTTTCGCTTCTGTGCCCCCTAACCCATCTGTCTCTGTGTTTTGCTGCAGGCACTATCTATCTCTCCCCCCCTCTCTCCCTCTCTCTCGTCTCTCTCCTCTCTTTCCTCTCTCCTCTCTCTCTCTCTCTCTCTCTCTCTCTCTCTCTCTCTCTCTCTCTCTCTCTCTCTGCTTTCAGCTGCTTAGAATAAAGTTTCTTACCTTTTCCCTTGAAATTCCAAGACTGGTATTGAGTAATATTCTTTATATCCTGAATCCTCTGCAAATGAACTAGCAGCACAATCCCGTATCTTTCCTACATTCTTCTGAAATATGAATAATGTTACCAAAACAAATATTTAAACAAATTTAAACAATTATTAACATTGAGAAAAATTTAAATGACAAAAATTTAAGTAATAATCTATAAGACTACAGCAATAACTATAAGTGTCTGGTTCCCATTTTCTGTTTTCTTGGGGGGGGTATCATACTCAGTGGTGCTTGGGGCTTATTCCTGACTCTGCACTCAGTGATCACTCCTGGTGGGACTCAGGGGACCATATGTGGTGCCAGGAATCAAACCATGGTGAGCTGCATGCAAGGCAAGAGCTCTACCTGCTACACTATCTCTCTAGTCCCCATTCCTGCTTTTTGAGAGGAAAAAAATACAAAAGATATCTAGAGGAAAGGAAAAAAAATGAAGTGTGAAATATATGCTTATGTGAACTTCCAGGCGGAGAATTACTATTTCCAAATTCTAGACGATCTCTGTTTTAGGAATCTCAAAGGAAATGGAAGTATCTGTATTGAATATTCAGAGACTTCTACTGCAGTGCTAATGGGTTTAGGACAAATAAGTATACATTAGACGACTTAAAATTCTGTAAGGATAAAGGCTACCCCAACTTTTCATTTTACCTCTGACATCTAACACAGCAATCATAGATATAGCTACTTAATACATGTTATTAAATTATGAAAAATGAGGAAGCTAGGAAGATTATCATTTGAGTGGTTCCTTCTACCTGTATCAACATAGACTCTTCCTGGTTGGAGAATAGGACAAAAGAGTTATAAAGTGAGAAAGTGTTTTAAGGAACAATATTAATTTAAACCTTAAAATCTTCTAAAACATTTTCAACGGAAGGAGTGCTGACATCAAATTCAATTCCTCCATGAACATGAAAATACTGATTCTCTTTGTAGTCAAAATGCTGGCATTTAAAATCCCGTCCATAAATAAATGGAGGCAATTCTCGCTCTGTCTTGACTTTGTCATCTCCGAAAATAAAAACAAGCTTTTATTAGAAAGGCAAGCAGTGTAAACTATAACATTTTGGAGATAAATTCTTATTCAGATAAGTGAAAATATTCCACAACAAATAAAAATATTGGTAATTATAGTTTATAGGATTCTTTATATACTTAGTGTTTATATATATTTAAAACACATATATGACTTGTTTATGGCATTTTAATGGTTTCATTGCACAGATATTTCAAAATGCTGCTCAATAAATGATTCTACTTACTAATAATTTTTTGTGGGGGGAGGATTTGGGCCACTCCAGGTGGTGTCCAGGGTCCTGGCTGTGTGCTCAGGAATCAACTCCAGCCTGCTAATATGGCATGCGCAGGATCAAACCTGGACTGACCAGGTGCAAGGCAATCACCCTACCTGCTGTACTATTTCTCCCAATCCAAAATATTATTTTTGAGTGAGAAAAATAAATAAGAAAAAGCTCAGGTCTTATTCCTGGTTCAAACTGGGGTTAGACACATGCAAAGCAAGCACTCTAACCCTTATACTATTATTCTAGTCTCTCTACTTACTTGCATTTTACATGTGAATTTTGTTAATGTTCTTACCTGAAAAAGGGTGAAGCAGACTATTTAAATATGGAACTTTCATTTTCCTTTTTAGACTAAGCAGAAGTGGAATCAGAAAACATATTAACTTTAGATATCCTAGACCTCTTCTGATTTCTGCTTTTTTTTCTAAATTATTTTGAATAATCTTTTTTTGAAGATTTAACCTTTGTTGTATTCTCTGGTAGGTACAAATATCAAGATACTCCTGATTATATTTGATTGAATTTGTAAGCCAATAGGCTGTTTCAAATATAAAAATATTTTCATGTTGTTGAATTTGTGTAGTACTAAATGTCATCTTCAATAAAATATTTTCAGCATATTTCATAAACACAGCTTTTTCTTCAGGGCTATTGGGAAAATAAGTTGGGTCTTCATTCATGTCATTGTCATAGATTCCATCAAAGTCCGGATCCTTTGTAATATCAATCAAACCTTCACAGTAAAAAAAAATTCTTTTAATTTTTGATAATGAAAACTTAATACTTGATTACTGAATAAGCATGCAGATTCAACATAAGGATTCATCTTGAAATCCTACTAACATGTCAGTTCATGACCAGTGAGATGCCAATGAAATTCATAAGGAAGAAAAGTAGATGAATGAATAAGCATGGTAAAAATGGAAGCTTGCAGAGTAAAAGAGAATATTTACATTCTCCTTGGAGGAACACAAAATCATGGAGCAGTAACAAAATTTTCATCTTTATTTTTTATTTTTTTAAAAAAATTTCATCTTTAATCAAGGAAAATGTGGAAGAACAAAAATACATAATGTAATATTTTAAGCAGAGATTTAGCATCTTACTTTGAACCAAAAGCAAATTTACTTTTTCACATTCAACATCACACATTTATTTTTTTCACAGAAGAAAACCATACATATGCAATGAATAACTTACCTGCTAACCAAACATGATGAAACAGAATTAAAACTTGATTTAAGGGGCTATAGAGCAGGAGGCATTTTATCTTGAATGCAGTTGAACCGGGTTTGATCACAGAACTACATACTGTTTTCCAAGCCCTCATAGGAGTGATTACTTAGTGCAGGACCAAGAGAGTAAATACATGGCAGGGCAATTCTTATCATCAAAGGCACCTGGTTGCAGTTACTGGATTTAGAAAGATATCTAGTTCCCTCCATATACAAATAAAAAGGAATTAAAGGTAGAATCAGAAGGCATTTGCAGCATAAAATGCTAGAGAAATGGTTGTTCATAGGCATGTTGCAGTAGAGATAAGTCAAAGTGGATAATTTTAGGATATTACAGAGGTAGAATCATTATAGCCAAGACACAATTTCCCAACAAGGAGAGGACAATTAAATAGAAAGATCCAGACTGATATTTAGAACAAATGTGAAAAACTGGCCTCCTTGTGAAAATATTGCTATACATATTGTTTGGTATATCGAATTGCTCTTGCTCTCAGCTCCTTCAATGTCTCCTTCCTCTGGGATAAACTTTAAAATGCCCTGATTCAAACTCTGGGACACCCTCAGGAGGTGAGTAGCCAAATAGGCACCCAGCAGTTCCAGCAGCAATGCCCACACTCCACCACTGCAGCCATACTCACTCCACCACTTCCTGAATATTTTCTGTAGAAACACCAATCTGCAAATGACTTTAGGTACCCAGTGCACAGGTCGGGATTTGTGGTGTTTTTTGAAGTCCCATGGGTCGATAGTTTCTCAGCAATCCCCACATTTTGGGTGATTGTCAACTCATTGGCCCAGACCCTCTGGACCCTGCCACACCTCCTAACACAACAAACAGCTTAATAAATTCTTAGATAGGACTTAACAACACTGCAATCCAATATAATAATTTTCACATAAATTGATTTTCTTTATACTTATTGCTTTTAATATTGAAGCTTTGATAATTAATCAGTTTTAATTCTAAAATTGTATCCACAGTAGTGGCCTTTTCTACATTAAAATAAAAAAAAATTAACAAAATGCCCTGATTCAGCATAGGGCACCTCTGAGACTGTTTCTTATGGCTGGTGTGTATTCTCATTGATTGGGGCTCAAAATATATTGATGGTTACATCTTTTGAATGCCATGTCCTGAAAATGCAGGCAGTAGAAGACAGAGAGCACACGTCTCTGGGGGCTCCCCAATTAGGCCACAACTTGATTAGAACAGCCCTATTGAGTCTGATCCTTTCAATCAGGAGCAACATTGTGAAGGAGTCTTCATAAAGGGTGACCTCAGCTACAATGGACAGCTGGATTTAGTAGCATTATTGCTGAGTTATGAAATCATTTTATATAACTGATTGGGTCATCACCAATTAAGTAGTATCCCTATATTTTTAGTTACAGGGAAAGCACATGTGTCCTCCTGTCATTTCTTATGCCATTTCTTATTACTGATGCTCTTGGACAATCCAAAGGTTCTTATGACTAGAATATGTGAACAATCCCTGACGTCACATATAGTCCTCTAACTCTGACGGCACTCCTAGATATCACTCCTTTATATCTAGATCATTCATCTAGAATATGACTTCTATAATAGAACATTCCATCTGTATGTCTGAATCCAAAGAAGGCTCATTGTTTTCTTAGCATTCAACTCTATCAATGCTGACATATGTACTACTTGACACATGCATATCCCATCCACTCTTCAGTGATAGCCCCCAAGTAATCTTTGTACAAGGGAAAAAGAAAAGGGCCAGAGAGATAGTTCAACAGGTTTGATTGCCCAAGCACACAGGCAGGGAATAAAGGACCCCATGTATGGCCCCCCAACCCCTACACCCAATAGGGAAGAAAATAAACCGTTTTTGTCAGAATAGTGAGTCTTTAACATGTTGAAAACCATTATCTACTTCTGATCTTGAAACTCCCTGGAACTGAGATCTCCCCAAAGCTGCTGGCATCCTCTCAGACACTGTAGCACTATAGGACTGTCCTCCCTTTGTTCATTGATTTGCTTGAGCTGGAACCATAACATCTCCAATGTGATACTTGTTGTTAGTGTTTTTGGCTTATCAAATACGTCACAGGGAGCTTGTCAGGCTCTGCCGTGAGGGCAGGATACTCTCAGTAGCTTGCCAGGCTCTCTGAGAGGGGCAGAGGAATCAAACCCCGGTCAGCCGCATGCAAGGCAAACGCCCTACCCACTGTGCTATCGCTCCAGCCCCCAATTAGACACACCTTGGCCAAATCAGGTGTTTGAAGATATCATCTAGCTTGTGCATTGTTACTGGCTGTCCTCCAGTGATTAGCAAATGGATCACTAAATAACTCCCAGGATAAAAGGGTCATTGACTAACAAGAAATCTTGATTTAGTTTCCTTCCTTCCTTCCTTTCTTCCTTCCCTCCCTTCCTCCTTCCCTTCCTCCTTCTCTAACCCTTTCTCCTTCCCTCTCTCCCTTTCTTCCTTTCCTCTTTCCCTCTCTTCCCCCTTTCCTTCCTTCTTTTTCTTGTTTTGGGGCCACACTTGGCAGTGTTGGGCTTACCTCTGACTCAGTGCAGGAACTACTCCTAGCAATGCTCAGGGGATCATATGTGATGTCAGGGATTATCAGTCACATATGAGGTAAACACCCTACCTGCTCAAAGTTTTATTTTCTTTAAAAAGATATGATTTAGCCCTGGAGTTCTAAAGTATTTCAGAGTAAACCCTAACAAACATTTCTAAGACTTTGACCATGTCATTTTCAAAATAGACCAAATGTCAAAATAGACCAGTCATAAGAATGCAGAAATGAGTGGAATTTACTGGATATTATTGCTAATGTTTTGTACTTTTCCCCCCCATCTCAATCTTCTCCAAAGTCATAAACCAGAAAGAACTGATTAGGTTATGGATATGACTATAATCTTGTAGATTCTGGTGACAATGATACAGTACTGTATGCCTAGACCTATGGAATTAATTAATATGGATTCAGATTGAAACATGCTCTCAACTGAGAATTCTGGCACACATTCTTTATTTGGGAGTCTGCTTTCAACAGATTAATTATCTGAATGGAAATGGGAGCTATTACTCATCTAAACTATCTCTTGAGACATAGAGGTAGCATCTTCAAGAAACTATTCTGCTTGCCCTACCCCAGTGCTACTCAGTCTGGAAATTTGATTTAGAGCAGATGAGCCAGGGGGCCTTATCATTACCAAATACATCTTACTCTCAATTTTATTTTAAACTAGATATATAGTCTCACATTCAGTCTATGGTTTAGGCAGCAAATAAGCATTTCTGTGACTCAACTCACAAACAAGGAGAGAAGTGTTTAGTGCTGTGTGGGGACTTGGTGGTCAGTAGGTATTAATACCCACTGTAGCCATTTTCTCTAGGTGATTGGACAGCTGGAGAGAGTCAAACTTTGAGCATGGTATATTTGCGGCATTCTTTTAAAATTTTTTTTTTAAATGTAGGAGTACTGCTATTTATTCAGCCACTGATTAGCTGATTGAATTGTGCATGAACTCCACCTTACTTTTTTATTTTCATTTTTTATAATTTTATTTATTGAATCACCGTGAGAGCAGTTACAAAGCTTTCGGGTCTAAGTCTCAGTCATACAATGAAACACCCGTACCTTCACCAGTGCCCATTCTCCACCACCAAAAACCCCAGTATACCCCCATCCAACACCCTCCCCCTACCTCTGGGGCAGATGATTTCCACATTATTCTCTCTCTACTTTGATCACATTCAATATTTCGACACCAGAACCACCATTATTATTTGAGATTTTACCCCAACACTCAGATCTGCTGAGAAGGCAACAATAGACATTTTGTGTTCTATTGCTGGCTATGAATAACATATGATGTCGCGTGGCTGCAGTAGGGCCATGTGATTTTGAAATTCTGAAATTTTAACACTTAAATCTGGAGGGATTTCTGCCAAAAGCCACTGGGTTTCGAGATTTGCTCCTGAGTCTCTGGTATAATGGTCATTGAGCAGCTTGAACAGGAGCCAGAGAGGCCATTCGTAGGCGATGACTTGGGGTCTCGTTGGGGTGGGAGGACAGGCCTGGCTCCACCCCCATCCTGTGAGGCCCAACAAGTTTCGTTACTGTGGACCCAGACCTGACTGTCCGATGGCTTCTGGAGGATGGCGACCACCCAGCCGCCAAGGGGGAGCAGGCGGAGGGACAACACCTTTTCCCCCCTGGGGTGGCCCGGCAATAGTAACCTACTGCGTGGTTTGGATGCATTTCTGCCAAAAGCCACTGAGTTTCGAGATTTGTTTCTGAGTCTCTGGGATCAAGGCCATTAAGCAGCTTGATCAGGAGTCAGAGGGGCCATTCGTGGGTGATGACTTGGGGGTCTCATTGGGGTGGGGAGGACAGACCCGGCTCCCCCACCCCCCCCATCCCGCAAGGCCCAATAAGTTTCATCACTGCGGGTCCAAGCCTGACTGTCCAATGGCCTCTGGAGGATGACGGCCACCAAGGCACCAGGGGAACGCAGGCAGAGGGACAGCACCCTTTCCCCCATGGGGTGGCCCGGCGACAGTAACCTACTGCGTGGTCCGGATGCATTTCTGCCAAAAACCACTGGATTTCGAGATTTGTTTCTGAGTCTCTGGGATCATGGCCATTCAGCAGCTTGGTCCGGAGCCAGAGAGGCCATTTGTGGGTGATGACTTGGGGGTCTCATTGGGGTGGGGAGGACAGACCCGGCTCTCCGCCCCATCCCGCGAGGTCCAATAAGTTTCATCACTGCGGGCCCAAGCCTGACTGTCCAGTGGCCTCTGGAGGATGACTGCCACCGAGCCACCAAGAGGGAGCAGGAGGAGTGACAACACCCTTTCCTCCCTGACCCGGTGGCAGTAACATACTGCAGGGTCCGGAAGCAGTTCTGCCAAAAGCCACTTGGTTTCGAGGTTTGTTTCTGAGTCTCTGGGATCATGGCTATTAAGCAGCTTGATCAGGAACCAGAGAGGCCGTTCGTGGGCGATGACTTAGGGTCTCGTTGGGACAGGGAGGACAGGACCAGCTTCCCCCCACCATTCCGTGAGACCCTGCATCTCTCGTCACTGGGGGCCCAAACCTGACTGTTCGATGGCCTCGGAAGGATGGCGGCCACTGGGCCGCCAGGGGGAACAGGCCAAGGCACGAAACCTATTCCTACCTGGAGTGGCCCAGCACCGGTAACCTACTGCAGGGACCAGGCACATTTCTGCCAAAAGCCGCTGGGTTTCCAGATTTGTTTCTGAGTCTCTGATATCATGGCTATTAAGCAGTTCAATCAGGAACCAGAGAGGCCATGCCTCCAATTATATAGCTGAGCCGGAGGTGGTTTGTGGGTGTGTTTCCCATATACCTAACTTTTGGCCGTTTACTTTCTTGGTAAACTTTGCTCCAAGTTTTTGGGGTCTGGCCAAAGGCACAGCGGCAATTTTGGGGTATCTGAAAGTCTGAAGGCGCCATCAGGCTGCTGATGCACTCGCCTCACAGGTACAGATTGACCTGCTGGCGGCACCATACCCCCCATTTGCGGCATTCTTGCTGAGTGACTCTGCACATATAAGGTATGTGCTCTTCCACTCAAGTCACATGACCCCCAGTTTTATTTTTCAGAGGGGTGAGGCCACACCTGGCTCTGTTCAGGGTTACTCCAGGTTCGGTGCTAAGGGGTTGCTCCTGGTAGTGCTCTGGGGACAATGTGGTGGCAGGGATTGAGCCCAGGCCCTCTTTGCATAAAAAGCATGTGCTCCAGCCTCTCTCCCCTGCATTTATTACTCTTTGGTTTTTTGGGGGGTGCCACACCTGGTGGTGCTTAGGGATTATTCCTCGCTCTGCACTCAGATATCACTCCCGGGGTGCTCGGGAGACCATAGGGCATTGAATCCAGGCTGGCAACCAGCAAGGCAAGGCCCTAACTGCTGTACTAGATCCTCCCTGCATTTATTCTCATCTTTGATTACCATCCACTTCCCCGCCCTGCCCCGAGTTTATTAAAATGACAGAGTGGAAGGCTAAACAATCTGACAATCATGTTATTTTCAAATTTGGAGGGTTTTTTTTTTCTTTTTTGGTCACACCTGGTGATGCTCAGAGGTTCTCCTGGCTTTGCACTCAGGAATCACTCCTGGCAGTGCTCAGGGAACCATGTGGGATGCTGGGAATCGAACCAGGGTTGGCCGCATGCAAGGCAAACGCCCTACCTGCTGTGCTATCACTCCAGCCTCGTGGAGATTTTTTTTTTTTAAATCTTCTTGCTATGCTGTTCGTTCTTGGTTCTCTTACTGAGTTTCCTATTTTGAATTGAGGACAAAATACATAAACTCAAAATCATCCTGCATAAAATCTGATATTACGCAAGAACTGGAGATCAGGATGGAAGAAGCAAGATTCTTGGCTTAAAATATTCATGATATTGAGAGAAATGAAAGTTTAGAATAGAATTTTTCCCATAAGAAATCATGGGTAGGGGCTGGAGAGATAGCACAGTGGGCAGGGCGTTTGCCTTGCTTGCAGCCAACCCGGGTTCGATTTCCAGCATCCCATATGTTCCCCTGAGCACTGCCAGGAGTAACTCCTGAGTGCAGATCCAGGAGTAATTCCTGTGCATCGCCAGGGGTGCCCCAAAAACCAAAAAAAAAAAAAAAAAAGAAATCATGGGTAAATACATTAACCTAAGCCATAGATGAATTACCTTAAAAATTTCTCAAAAGGTTTATAATTTAAAAAGTGTTAAATTATCTTACCAGATGAATGAAACTCTCCAAAAATATTTCTATTGGTTTGAGGCTTCCCATCCGGATCAATGTCCAAGATGGTACGCCACAATTCAGAGAACCGGGCTCGCTTTTCTTTAGGCATGTATAGTCCATGCCATAGTGCTTTCAGCATATAGTCAATACAGATGAGGATTTGGCCAATTCTGGTATCATAATAAGCTGGAGGTAATTGGCAAGAAGAACTCTGATCATAATTAGCTTCCAAACTGATAGAAGGAATTTGATTTAAGCAATAAATCCCAATAGCCAGCTCCCTTATGATTTGATGGACTTCTCTGTAGTCTAAGAGGGCTGTGGAGTCCACAGGAGTCAGCAAGATCGCAGTGGTGAAGCTTGCATTATTTATTTGACTCATGATCCCACATGGCATGTCAAATGGAGAGTGGACGTCTTCTTTGGTAGTCAACCAGTTAAGTAAAGTAGTAGTTAGCAACTCTTGCACCTCAATCCGATCAAATTTTTCAAAAAAGGCAGAAGCATTTCTTTGCACAGCTAAATTTTCCAAGAAGACTTCTTCATCTTGACTTTGTTCAAGTTTACCTTTTTTGGGTAATTTTATCATGATAAATGAAGTCTACCGGGTCCTGTTTTGAAGTTTCTGCAATGAATTAAAAAAAAAAAGGGGGGGGAGAATATAAGCAATATTTGCCATGGTTAAGAAGTTGGAAATCTCAAGAAATATATATGTACCTTTTATCTTTATAAGGTTGTGTCATGGTCAAGAATAATATTTTTAATCTTAAGTGAATTATGGCATTTTTAAAAAAGTTGAAATATGGGACTGGAGAGATTATACAGTAGGTAAGGTGCTTGCATTGCATGGTATTGATCCAGGTTTGATTCCTGGCACTGTAAATGGGTCCTGCTAGGTGTGATCCTTAAGCACAGAGCAGGGAATAAGCCCAGAGTATCACTAGATGTGACCTCCTCCCCACAAAAATAAAAAAAAAGTTGAAATATAAATAAAAATGATTAAAATAATTTTAAATACATTAATGTTACTCAGGTTTTCCAAAAGAATCTAGGCATCTTTAAAAATAAACAAAGAGAAGAAATAATCAGAAAAAAAGAAATGCAGGGCCAGAGAGTACGGGGGTTAAGTCCCAGCCTTGCATGCCATTGATCTCATATGCATGCCATCTCATCTTATATTGCATGCCATAGATCTCATATGGTGCTATGAACATTGCTGAGTATATTCTGGAGGCCCTAACACCACCAAGGTGGCCCCAAGTAAGCCTTGCACTAAAGGGCCAAAGCAGTACCATATCCTCTGGCCCTTGTGTTGAATTTCCGGTCAGGCAAGAGGTGGAATTGTGTCCTCCTGAGCTCTGCTTATAGAAGGTACCTCCCCTACCACCAAGAAATGCAAAGTTAGATGTACGAAGCTAAGTTTGCCCCCAATTTTTTTTAATTTAAGAAGCTTTTTTATACATTTACAGTCAACCCTACATATCCTAGGTTTTCTGTACCTGAAAAATTCAACCCACCTCGAATTCTTAGAAATTCTTATTATATGCAGCTAGGACTATAATGATTGTTTTTAATAAACATATACAGAATTTTTGTCTTATTCCCTAATGAGTACTGTACAATTATTTACATAGTGTTGGCATTATTTTAGGTTTAACAAGTAATTTGTAGATAGGCTTTATAGGAGGGTGGCCATAGATTATCTGCAAACACAATACCAGTTTTATAAATGGGATCTGTGCATCTGCAAATTTTGGGTTATCTGCATGAGTTCTGGCACCAAGCAATACACATTGGACACCAAGACATGACTATGGCTTATTATTGTAATCTCTCTCTCTCTCTCTCTCTCTTCCCTCCCCTTCCCCCTTTCTCTCTCTCTCTCTCCCCCATAATTAAGTCTGTACCCAGAATCGCAATTCCCTGTTATTCCCAAGAAACTTCTAGCTTTGCCTATCATCACAGTACAGGTTTACCACTTATTTCTGAGTCGGCGTTTGATTTTGATTTATGTTATTTGACTGACTCCTGTTGAGTGGTCCTCAAATTTTAGCCCCTATCAGAATCAGTTGGTTAGGGCGAGCTAGTTGTACTCCCAGCTTCCTCCCTCCCATCCCCACCCCCTGCTGTCTCATCGCGCTGGGAGGTTGTGGGGGGGGGTCCTCAGAGTGCCAGGTTCAAAGGGACAGTTGCCAGCATCGCCTCCGACTGGGCAGAAAGGCAAGTCCTCTTGGCCCCACTGCCACCCACGGACTCAGACTCGCGGGGGTGGGGGTAGGAAGGGGGAAGCTGAAAGTAAAACTAGCTCCCCCTAACCAGCTATTTCTTATTGGGGCTAACATTTGTGGGGATGGGGCTGTCACGTTTGGAAAGCCGGGTGGGTCCTCAGTCAGACCTGAGACCTGATCTTTGAGAACACTGAGGACGGAGACAAGGGTGGGGCAGAAGAAACCTACTGGGAAACGTCTGTTTCCGTGTCCAGGACAAGGAGCATCACAGGGGTAGTGTCCAGCTGCTTTTCTCAAGCCCTCCCGAGAGCCCTGGACTGGGACCCCCCACCCTCGCCCAGGCGCAGGTGAGAGCCGTTGGTTCTCAGGACCCCGGGTGGAGGGGGCGGGCCTCAGGGGGAGCCCGTGCTCCTCCCTCAGGCTCTCAGCCCCTGCTTAGGTCTCTGTCACTATTCCCCCCCCCCCCCCCCCCCCCCCCATAGGTGATAGATTCCTTCCCAGGCTATTTAGGGTTCATTGAGGACTCCCGCTCCGGGCATGGCGCTGTTCTGTGCCTTCTCCTCTGCCTGTCTCAAATGAACCACACGGGTGGGCCCCAAGGGCGTCCTGACTTGGAACCCCGCCCCCCCCATCCTCCTTTGAAAACGCTTACTAACCAGTATTGTTAGGAGCCAGGCACTGCGCCCTAGTTGGAGACCCTGGTAAACCTGCCAAGTGCAACAACCCAAAGGCACTTACCAGTGGCACTGATAATCAAAGAGGAGTAGTTAGATAACGTGATTAGAGGATGTAATGAACAGCATCAGAGGCGCTGGGGAAGGCTGGGAGTGATGTGTTTTGGGGTTTTCGGTTCTGGAGGGCCCCTTACTGGGGCTTAGGGGCCTCGTGCTGCTGGAAATCAAACCCAGGGCTTCACACGTTTACAAGTTCTCTACAGCTAAACTACATTCCCAGCCTGCCCGCCCCCCCCACCCCCCATACAATGTTTTGAGTTTGGTTGTTTTGTTCCTTTCTGCCTTTGCTGGGACTGAGCCCCAACTCCTGCCCCAGGCTAGGAAGATGAAAGAAAAATCCGTCCAAACCTAGAAGAGAAGTAAAGCTGTAACTTTTCAGTTACTGAAAAGAGGAAATAACACAGGTGATGATGAATTGAGAAAAAATTGGAAGTTTTGGAGAAATCCAAAAAGGAAATACAATACCTGGCATAGAAAGATGTGGGGGTAAAATTAAACTGTAGAAGTAGGTGTCAGCAAGGGTGCAGAGCCCTGAGTTAATGATTTTGAATTTAATGTTGTTTGGGCACGGTTGGTGGCAGTAGCCACTAGGTGTAGGCTAGAGTGATACAATGAAGAGGGAGGGCTGGGGATGGAGCTGAGAAATACTGAGGTGGGTCAGTAGTATGGCTGAAAGGGTTAGAGTATTGGGAAAAGCTAGTTAGCTAAACTTCTGCCAGACTCAACAGGGGATCAGGATGTGTTTAAGAGGTCAGTACCAAGGTCTGGTAGAAAGGGTATTCACAACACAAAGCGCTGGAAGAAAAGCAGGAAGACCAAGACTGGTCTCACTATCAGAAAATCATTTGAAAAACAAAGGAACTTTTCCACTTATTATCAACATGGAAAGTTGGGTGATTGGAGGTAGAATTTTTCTTGCATCAAGCCGCTGCTTAGCTGCTGTGGAAAGTGAAAAATTAGTAAATTCATGATTTTTAGTCAAGGCAAGGTTTGTCAATAGGGCACTGATTTTCATGTTTGTAATGCAGAATCTGAACAATATGGGTTAAAAAGAAAAGCGAGTAAAATCTGCCTTTTATGAATTTAAAATACCCAAATTGTTCCTTCAAGTAGGAGACTCCTTCCTTCCAAGAGACTCAGTTTGACTACATTGGCTGTATAAATTGGGCTGGAGTGATAGCACAGCGGGTAGGGCATTTGCCTTGCATGCGGCCGACCTGAGTTTGATTCCTCTGCCCATCTCGGAGAGCCCAGCAAAGCTGGTTAACTATGCCTTGATAGACAAGAGTACCAAGAGTACCTCGCCTGAACAGCAAAGCCTGGCAAGCTCCCCGTGATGTATTCGATATGCCAAAAACAGTAACAAGTCTCACAATTTGTTGTGAGACATTACTGGTGCCTGCTTGAGCAAATTGATGAACAAAGGGAGGACAGTGCTACAGTAAAGAAAAATTTACCAAAGGAACCTTTTTTTTTTTTTGAGGAGGGAGGGGGGGCTCACACCTGGCAGGTAGCATTCAGGGCTCTCAGAGGTTTGAGGGATCATATGGGGTGATGGAGATAGAACCTAAATGTGGAGCATGCAAGGCAGGCATCCTGCTCGCTGTACTATGGTTCCAGTTCTATACTGTACGAACTTTAAAGTGACCACATTATAGCAGAGCAAAGCAGCAATGTTTTATTTAATTATCATGCAAATAAATCTTAAGTTGACAAATCACTGGAATTTTCCTTGCCAAGAGAAAGATTTTCTATGAGTTGCAGTCTTCCACATTTGTCAGATGACTTTTCATTTTTCTTTTCCATTTTTGCAATTCTGGATCCAAACTGCATGGCCCGTTTTGGCAGAAGTGCGGAGGTCGTTAATCCAAGTTCCATGGCTGCAAGACGCAAAAGCAGCTTTTCACCAAGCCCACGGGGGAGAGTCAGGTTTGCTTTTACCCAGATTGGTTGAGAATTTAGGAAGGAGACAACGTTTTCATCCAAGAAAGGAAATCTGAAATAGATAAATATAAACACTGTAACTATTCTTTTTTACATTCAGTTAAAATTTCTAGCAAAGAACTATTTTTTCTGAATACTACTTTTCTGGGCTGGAGCAATAACATAGCGAGTAGCGTGTCTGTCTTGCATGCGGCTGACTTGGGTTCTGTTCTTCCACCCCTCTTAGAGAGCCTGGCAAGCTACTGAGAGTATCTCGCCCGCATGGCAAAGCCTGGCAAGCTACCCGTGACATATTCGATATGCCAAAAACAGTAACAACAGGTTTCACACTTTGTTGTGAGACGTTACTGGTGCCTGTTCGAGCAAATCGATGAACAACGGGAGGACAGTGCTACAGTGCTGTGCTACTACTTTTCTAAAAGTCCGTGCTCCATAACTTTACAGCTCAAATTTAATCACACTAAAAAACTGTTTCATGTCTTTTAAAATAAATATTCTACAAGAAAAATATTGCTAAATGGATAAAACATATGCTGTCAAGAAATAATTTTGCTTCACAAGATATTTTTAGGGATGCCTTGAAAACAAACATGGCTTAATTATTCAATCTGTGCTTGATCTCTATTAGATCCAAAGAAATTGCAATTTCAGGATATGATCCCTATACAGAATTAATCTACAAT